TGAGTCAAAAAGTTATCATCTATTGTACACCATTCATAACCGTCTACGGGCAGCCGTTCAGACATCGCATATCCATACAAATTGTTGACATCGAGATAAAGTATATAACTCTTTGTACGATCCGCTTGATAATCTGAACAAGCTGGATTATTTGGAATCACGTGCCGATTAGATACCATTGTAAGTCCCCCTCTGATACCTTTTTCAATCATCAAAAGCATTTCAATGTCAGTGAAAAGTTGTAGCTCGATTCTCGTAACCTTCAATGCAGCTGCCCATGTTAATCCAGGAGCTGAGTAGTGATGGAGTGGATCAATATTGAAATTCTCGATACTTGTCGAACGAAAGTTTTCAAAAACAGCAGCTAACAACAACACATCAACCTTGAGATAAATGTCATGTAAATCCAACAGTTTCGTACAGTTGAATGATTGCCAGATTTCCTTAACATGCTCATATTGTTCATCACTTATCTCACTATCTGTTAAACTTGATTTGAATTCAGACTTATCAGGTAATGATGTTTCTTCAAACTTTTCAAGTGAATCAAATATTCATATGGTAAGATACATTTTCTGGTTAGAGATGTGACATTGATGTTGGCGAAAAGTTGATGTAAATATCTTTCTTTCTCTACAGTTTCCAATGATGCTGATAACTTATCAAGACTTGCCGGAAGGAATGCAAAACTATCCAAAAACCGTAATCTACCAATAGTGAAGCCAATGTACTTTTCTATCGTATGTGGGATAAGTTGTGGAACACGATCTTGTAAGTTATTCCTGTTTATTGACTTGATAATGATATGCCCGTCAAAGTTTTTGAGATTATGAAACAGCACAGGTATAGTTCCAGGTAACCTGTACTCTAAATTACATTTGACATGTGCGGCTCCACGATAAACACCAGTCATGTGATCATGATCTCTAACAGATGGATCTGTTAGCAAATTCCCACAAATATGACAGGTTGTTGAAGACTGGAAATTTTCTTCATCGACAGGTGACATTAAAAGAGGTTTCTTGGAAGTTTGAATATAATTTAATATCCATGATTCTGCGGTGTAAAGGCTATTCATGAATCTCTCTCCAATATTTTCTCCAAACCCGAAATCTTGATAGATGATTTCATTTTCCCAATTGATGGCCACGTATCCATAACTACATGGAATTAAATCAGCAATAGTAAGTGGGTCATCTAACTTAACATTCAGCGTTTCAAAATCAGCATAAATCGTAACTGGAAACCTCATCTCCTTCCGAAAGTCTTTTCGTTTCAAGATCGATGATTCAACTGATGGTAATACAACAGTTTGTGGATGGAATAAAAGACAATTTGATAAGTGATCATCTAATTTCTGTTGAGAAGGAAATCCAAAGAGACATCTGAAACAGAAATATCTATTTCTGAGCCCTTGTTTTGATGCAAATCTGTTGAAGTGTTTGATTAAAAAATAGTGACCATCATGTAGAAAAAGATTGACATGCCTTATTTTGTTTTCTTTCGTTATAGCGAGAGGTACGATTGTTCTTGTGCCCAAAATAAGAGAATATACGTTGATGCTGATATCATTCTTTCTTTCAAACTTTGGAATATCAGCTACTGACACATCACCACGAACATCAGAAAAGTCATAAAGGTGAGTAAATTGACGATATTTTGCTGCACGTTCTGGATGAGTTCTCATAGGATGGAGTGCACCCAGGACGGAGTACATAAAACAATCACTTCTGGTTTTGATCGATAACAAGCAGCACTTGTTAGAAATGAATTGTGGTGGTTTATGATTAACACAATGTGTGGAACGTATTTTCCGATGAAAATGTCAACGAGCTCAATGTTTACTAAAATCCATCCTGAACCTCGTGCAGTAAATTGATCAATGCTAACTTGTATATCACCCAGTTTATCAAGAATACTTGACTTCTTATCAGTTCCAAGAAAACAGGCATCAATTGGTGATTGAAAAGTTGCCGATCGAGTAGCGTCATTTTCAATTAATGGATTATAGAAAAGACACTTTATTGCGATACCAAATTTTAGGCAGTGAAATATCCTATTAGGTGTTCCAACAGATGCACCATTTGATCCAAAATTCTTCCAACAACTACCAAAATATCAAAATCTCCATTATCAACTTCGTGGCGATAAACCACATAATGACCACCAAATGCTGAACTGTGAAGATTTAGTGAACCAAAAATTTCTGGTACCAATGATTGATCGATTGGTACTCTAATTGGATGACATAATCTCATGTGAGAGTTAAGGTAAACTTCTCTCGTGTATCTTTTCCCACATTGATTACAAACGAAGTTTCGGCTTGTGGATGGTCGATATTCCGAATGGTTATGATTCAAATCATCATGGAGCTGTGAAGCTAACACATGTGATTGATTTTGAAGAGATTCCGATGGCGTAGGTTGTCGAGGATCAAGAGTTTGAGCAAATAAATCATTCAATCGTTGTTGAAAACTCTCAAAAGTTTGCTGTTGTTGTATCGGGTCAAAGGTTGATTCTGCTGGACTGGATCAGAAGGTTGGATCTCATTGATTGGATCAAAGATTGAAGCTGTTGGACTGGATCAGAAGGTTGGATCTCATTGATTGGATCAAAATATTGAAGCTGTTGGACTGGATCAGAAGGTTGGATCTCATTGATTGGATCAAAAGATTGAAGCTGTTGGACTGGATCAAGATATTGAGCCAAATCGATACCATTAGGAAAGAGTTCGTTGAGATCAGGAAAGTAACGCTCTATATCAGCGATGATTTGGCTATCAAAATCTTCATTAAAGTTAACGTTTACGTCCATCACCTCATCATCTGAAGAAATATTGATCAACTCATCGTCATCACTCGTAAGATCTATGCACTCAGCCTGGACGTTTCGTGAAGTATCATTCCTGATAGCATCTACGATGGGAAGACAGCTTGAAGATCCTAACGTAAACAAGCTATTTCTCGAACAGGGTTGGACCAAACAGATACAATCATGTAGAATATACAATTGAAAATTTCCATAGGAATGTTGACAACATGGGCAGATGATAACCTAATATAAATATAAATATAAATATTTGAACAAAAAAAATTAATATATAGAATGATCGGTTTTAATTATTAGAAACGAAACTATATTTGTCAAAATACAATAAGATCAGCTTTTACAAAGTGAAAGCTAAGAAATCTTACGTATATTGATAGTAATGTGAAGAATTTCTCTCAATGAAAAATAATATCTATGATGGAAACAACTCACCATTTTGTTAACAGAAAGATGAGACAGATTGACGAAGAAAAAAGACGAAGAAAAGTTTAAACAGTTTGATTAGAGATGAGAAAGATTGTTTATTTGATTGTTGACAGTTAGCAAGTATGAATTAGACTGATGTTAAACTGAAAGTAATCTTGTCTTTTATACTTTCTTAATAATAACATAATTTTAATCTTTAATGTGATTGGTTAAAACTTGATTGTTTAATTTTAACATTTATTACGTAAGACATTCTTGTTACTTTAATCTTTAATGTGATTGGTTAAAACTTTTTTGTTTAATTTTAACATTTATTACGTAAGACATTCTTGTTACTTTAATCTTTAATGTGATTGGTTAAAACTTTTTTGTTTAATTTTAACATTTATTACGTAAGACATTCTTGTTACTTTAATCTTTAATGTGATTGGTTAAAACTTTTTGTTTAATTTTAATTTATTACGTAAGACATTCTTGTTACTTTAATCTTTAATGTGATTGGTTAAAACTTTTTGTTTAATTTTATTTATTACGTAAGACATTCTTGTTACTTTAATCTTTAATGTGATTGGTTAAAACTTTTTGTTTAATTGCAACATTGCTGTTCATATCTACAAATAATCATATAAAGGCTTCGGTTTTTACTACACTTAGTTCACTTAACTTTATTCCTTTCAATCATCAATTTCACTAAACTTCATAAAAATGGATTTACTATCGTTTTTTTATTGGTCTCTCATTTTTCTGATGATGTTCATAGCTTTTTTGTTGGTTAGGTGGTATCTTCAGTTTCCACAGAAGAAGATTATTAAAAAAAGTAGATCTACTCAGTTTGGGTCAACTTATAGTAGAAAATCGCTGATGGATGACGTTAATCGGATTGAATTACTTGCGTAAGTATTTTAACTAATTTATGTTTCAGAAAACATGTGCTAATCTTATTAAATTTTTTTTTAAACGCAGGTATCTAAGAGATCCGAACGTATCAATTTCCATAAGACATCTCCGTATGATTAACATGCTTTCTTCCATGAGAGACAGTCATTGGACTATCACACCAGTGATCAAGTTACTAGGAGAACTTCGTTGGATGATTATAAGCGAGCTATATCAAACAGATGGAGAAGCTTTCGATAAATTTGATATGGAAGAAGAATTACTAAAATAAAAGATTTAAAAGTATACTTGATATCAAATTGAAATTATTTTATTTTTATTCACTTTTAAATAACATAGTACGCGTACAAAATCATTCAGAGATGAATCAATTTGATGAATCTCTTTAGCTCAGTTATTATAATTGAACCTGTTGTATAATAAATAATTGTTACATTTTCTATTTTCATATAAATGGCTGGATATATTTCTGGCTCATATTTAGTTACATTGGAATAGGTTTTAATCAGATCGTTAGTGTTGAACGCGTAAGGAAGGAAACTGTGGGCAGTGATATTTACTACTTTAATAAAGTTAACACTCCGATTTGAATAGATTTCTTGTAATAGATATCCTGGTAGTGTTACATCTTTGAATCCTGTTGCGGTTATTTTGCCAGATGAAAATACTAGGAATACACCTCCATTCTTTCGAATAACTTCGGCATTAAATCTTTTTCTCCTTCCGGAATTATCGACATTTATAACAACAGGACCATCTAATTTCCATAAGGATACAATGTTAACGATCTCATATTTTAAAGAATCGGTTTCCTCCATGATAAAATGAAATATGACGGTATTGTTTTATTAAGCACTATCCATAAAGTTGAGAACAGCAATATGATCGTTAGTATCAATATCACCCTTTTGATCATTCTTTTCATCAGTAGATCCAAGTTCTTTATCTTCACTGACAGTTTCAGCTGTAGATGTTGATGGTATTGATTCTTTTGAAATTGTACCTGGCTGACCTTCAGAATCAGATTCCTCTATTTTAGCGATCTTTTTAGCACTTTCGCTGTTGTATGTTTTATCTTGAGGTGGAGAATCAAATTCAGGTTGGATAAGTAATATGTATGTACGAGGTTGAATTATTAATTGAGCGATCCGATCACCTCTTGATACAATATGATCACTTTCACCAAAATTGAAAAGAAGAACTCTAAGAGGACCTTTGTAATCTGGATCTATTACACCGGCGCCAACACTGATAAAATTGTTCCAAGCTAATCCAGATCTCGGTAAAATATGACCAAAATGATCAAATGGTAGGTCAATCGAGATATCAGTATTGATCAAACTTTACCTTTAGCTGGTACAACTGTATCGACTGAGCTATAAAGATCAAGTCCAGCGGAATGAGCTGTACCACGAGTTGGAACGTGAGCGTTTTTAGAGAGCTTTTGGTACCTAATAAAAACAGACATTACGAAATATTATTCTCGAATGAATGTCATTTTGAGGTTGTTTGCCTTTTATACTGTTTAATTTGTCCTAGAGGTGACAGTAGTTAAACTGATTAAAACCTGTTTGTCTTGGAGATGACAATGTATTTTAAATGTATTGAATTAAAACAGGTTTGAGGTGGAGTAGAAATGGCAGTGTTACTTCTAAGCCAAATTATACGCGCGCTGTTTTGAATGGGGGTGGAGTGGAAGTGGCAGGGACATTTCTGGACATGGGGTGAAAATGACAGTGGAGTAGAAATGACAGTGGAGTAGAAATGACAGTGGAGTGGAAGTGGCATGTAAAAAAATTATGGTGGGTCCGGGGGTGGACATTTATTGCTACTAACATCAGTGTCACCGAAAATATTAAAATTTATCTTATTGATGTACAAAAGCAATTGAATCTATTGAACACAAACCTAGAAGAGTATACGAATGAGATTGAAAAAGAAAAGACAAAGTTCAATGAAGAGATTGGTTACTTGCAGACGGATTGGGATCTTATGTGAACATCAACGAAGATCCATTAGACTTTGAAAATTCAGTTGACAAAGTTAAACAATTTTTAGATCTATTGAATCGTATAATATTCCTGAATTAGCGAAATCGGGTTTTAACTGGATCAAGAGACTGTTCTTCATGAGTTGGTTCCTGGTCCACGGAATTGGAAGTCTAATCATAGTCCATTCTTTCCAGATAATTTACTTAAATTGACTCACGACTTTATCAAAGATCATCTTCGCCATAAAAATGACTGTAACTCACAATTCTGCCCCTGTAAGTCAAACAATCTTATCAACTGTATCCAACAAAAGTTTGGCAACTTACAAGAAATGATTTGGTGGTGATATTACTTTATTAATTGAAACTGGTAAACGAGCTCTTAATCAGTCAGTCGATTTGACGTTTGCTCGAATATGTTTTGAAGAAGCTCATCGAATCGATCCAACCAATTGGTTTGTTCTCGACACTTTAATGGGTCCTTATTTCGTACTCAATGATCACAATAAATGTCTATTACTCGCTATCAAAGGATTAATGAAGGATAGAAATTGCTTTAAAGCTCGTGTACTTATATCTGAGGTGTTGCAACGTTTGCCATCTTTAGAATCCAAATTGCCTGTCCGTCTTAAATATCTAAAAATTGGAATCCTGAGCAAGGCTTAGAAAAACAGGAAACTTTTAGAAGTACTGGAGAGTTTAGAACAACTCAATGAGCGACGAAACGAAAGTGAAGAGAAACAAGAAAATGTTCGCAAATCTTTAAGTTTCGATCTCAATGACACCAGCTATGCTTCTTTAAAATCTGTCATTTCAGACTTGATAGACGTTAAAGGTATCTATTTTCCAAACCTTCAGCGCTTTGTACCAGTCGTATTGGAATATTAGCGACTAAATTGATCTTGACTGCAAATGAAGTGAACTTCAATCACTTTGAAGTATTATTTTTGACTGAATCAGTTCCATATCTACGAGATTTATTGAATCCCAACGATTATGATATATTTTTCATTCGTCTTTTTACTCTTCGAGGAATCGCAGAATCTAAAGTTGATTATCTTCTAATGGCGAATGAAGTTTTCGAAAAGTCAAACCTTGAATTGGTTCAGACAAAAAATCAAACAGTTCATCCATTCTTAAATCAATGATAAACAAGATGAATGAAAATAATTTGGACACGTTATTGGATCAACATCGACACGAAGAAATTGTTGAACTTTTAGCATATAAATCTGAGCTCTCTAAAAATAAGAAGTGTACCTTTGTACAGCCATTCAGTCATCAAAACAATGGAAAAGTGGAATCGAAATTATTGCTAAAAGTAAACAATTAACTAATCGATTTCTAAACTGTTACGAGCTTGTTTAAAGAATGGAGATAAACTATCAATTGATCGAGAATTGGCCATTTATTTGCTCAAATTAGGGACTGAAGATTACAATGTAATGGCCTGGACTTGTATTCTACAAACATTTATAAATGAAATGACCGACACATTGCTAAATCTATTACCAATGTGTTTGAAGAATGGAGAAAAACTATCAATTGATCGAGAATTGGCCATCAAATTATTAAAGTTAGGAACCGAAGATTACAATGCAATAGCCTGGACTTGTATTCTACAAACATTCATAAACGAAATGCCTGTTGGTAAAACTGACGAAGGAAAATCACCGGTTTGATTGGTTCAGTTCACGATTATCTAGGAATAAAGGAGCATGTTGTCGACCAAATGGCGAGTTTTATCTCTATCATTAGATTATCTGATTAATCAATGTAACAGAAAGAAGAGAGACTAATCAACAGCTGTCTTGGTTGTTTCTACAATCAATTGAAATGTAGCTTCCTCATCAGAATTGAGTAGCAAAGAATTTCTTCGTGAAACCGATCGGGAAAATCTTGGAAAACAATCAATGGAACATTGTTTTAACATTTACGAAAGTCGAATTTCAAAAGCAAAAGGAAATCGAAACAGTTTAGATAAAATTAAAGAGGATGTAAAGAGAATTTGTAACAAATTGATGGAATATCCTATCTATAAAAACAGGCTGAAAAATTTTTCGAAAAACATGTTGAATGTGTAACAATTGATTAGTTGTAGTGATCGATTTCCATGAAAGGTTCTTTCAACAATATTTCTCAAATTTTTCAGAATCTTTTCTTAACGAAACTAAATTTGTTCAATTTGAATAATTATTCTTATTACAACGAAAAACATTTTAATGCTATTATTTTATGACTTAATATCTTAGGTTTTCTCGTAAGAAACTCACCGAACTTTTGAAATTTTCGTGATTCCACGCGATCAATTATTGATTAACGTTCGAGTGTATAACAATTAATCAATTGTCATAATTTGAGTAAATCTTTTTCAATAGATTGATTTCAAAGATCAAAACTTTTCTAACTTAATTTTTTTATGAGAACAAAAAAATTGTTGAAACAAAATAGTATATAATATCCTAAATAGTAAAGAAATATCATATTCTAATTCAATTTATTATTTCCATTCTCACAAAAGTTTAATGTAAATTAGAATTTTTAATTTCTTGATAAATACAAATGTAATTGATAATAAACGACAATTAATTTATTTCATTAGAAGAGAACAAAAATTCAAATCAGCTGGTACACGACAAGTTCTAAGAATTAGATAAGCATATCATCCAAATAAATTGGCATCAAGAAGAAATTCTGGTTAAAATTGAATCGCGCCTTTTGGTTTTGTTCCTTTTCTTTTGAATGTTTACAAATTTTAGAAAATAGTTAAGTCAACTTTAACCTGTTGCCTTAATCTCCAAACTTCCTTTAGATCTTAATTTAATTTTATTTATCTTAACTATTACAATTGTTAACCATTTAAACCTTTTGTCAGAGTTGGAATATTTATTTGAAACAATTAGGAAGAATCTAGTTCACTAAGAAAGTGAATCAATTATTAAAAGTGTTTCCATTATTTTCCTCTTGAAACTGAAAGTTTCTCTTTTGAATAGTTAACGAGGTTAATTGTTAACTTTAAATGTTTGTTTTCATTAAAGATAAATGTGATTGTAGCCATTTATGCAAAATCGTTGGTATAGTCTCATGTTGAGTTGATATTTTCTAGTTAATTGATCGAAGTTAAGTGGTGACAATGATTTTAACTTGTTTAATATGTTGATCTTCACATTAAATTATGATAAAAGTAAGTATTCTTCATCTATTTTTATTATCCTTTAAATATTTCTTAAGTCTATTCATCATACTATCACCAAACTAACCTGAATTCAGCTTGAATTTGATCTGTTTTTCTATGAATTAGTCAAGAAGATATTTTACATCGCCATTTATTAATACTTATCACCTTTAACATCTGTATTATCTCTTCATTTACAGGGATTAAGCAATCAATTGATCAACAAGTTGGATTGTGGTCACGATCAAAGTGAAGTTTTTTATGTTCACAAATGTTTAAAGACATTTTGTCATCATTGTAAACAAGAAAACCGACCATGTGTCTTATATAAAACCGATCTCATCGAAGCTGATTACCTCAAAGCCATTGACAAGAAAAGATGTGGAGATGATTCCGTTTGTAACAATCAAGCCATTTTCCATTGTTTGTGTAGTAAAAAAGATTTTTGTGAGGCTCATTTACTCAAATTTCATCGAAAAATTTTAGCATCTAAAAGATGTTGTGCTGTTATTCTCAATTCGAGCACGGATGAACCTTCATGTTCCAAATGTGACAATTTTATCGCTGAATTTGTGGACAAGACAACTAATGAACTATTCTGTGAGACATGTAGTAAGAACAAGTCAGCTAGTATTGTGCCCATTGAACGTGACAATAACAACAATAATAACACCGTTAACATCGATATTGACAAAATTTTCATATTCATCGGATATTATTGGTAATCAATTGAATTTATTGAGCACAAAGCTTGAAGAGTATACCAATGAGATTGAAAAAGAAAAGGACCAGTTCGATAAGCAAATCAACCACTTGCAAAAAGAATTGGAATCTTATGTGAACATTAACAAAGATCAATTAGACTCTTTGCGAGCTTCAGTTGACAAAGTTAAACAATTTTTAGATCTATTGAATCGCAGTGATAAACTTGGAATAATTAATCTAATCAAATCGGATAAACTCAACTATAAACTTGTGGACTCGAAATTACGGCTGTGGGTTGAAGAGATCGTCCAATCGTATAATATTCTGAATTAACAAAATCGGGTTTTAACTGGATCGAAGACTGATTTTATGAGTTGGTTCCTGGTCCACGGAATTGGAGGTCTAATCATAGTCCATTCTTTCCAGATAATTTACTTAAATTGACTCACGACTTTATAAAAGATCATCTTCGTCATAAAATGAATGTAACTCCATCCTGCCCCTGTAAGTCGAGCAATCTTATCAACTGTATCCAACAAAGTTTGTCAACCTCACGAATCAAAACAACTTACAAAAACGATTTGGATTATTTTCTCGACTGTTCTTCCATTGCTGGTGGTGATGTTACTCTATTAGTTGAAACTGGTAAACGAGCTTTTAATCAGTCAGTAGATTTGACGTTTGCTCGAATATGTTTTGAAGAGCACATCGAATCGATCCAAACAATTGGTTTGTTCTCGACACTTTAATGGGTCTTTATTTCGTGCTTAATGATCACGATAATTGTCTACAACTTGCAATCAAAGGTTTAATTAAAGACGGGGATAACTTCAAAGCTCGTGTATTAGTCTCAGAGATATTGAGACTTTCACCGTCCTTACGATCAAAATTGCCTGTTGAGTTAGAATATTTACAAACTGGAATCCTTGTAATGGTCATGATAGAAAGACAAAAGTTTTGGACGAGCTCGTGAGTTTAAGAGAACTCTATAATTTACGAAGCGTATGTGAGCAAATCAAGATGATGCTTCGAAATTTTGAATTTATCTTTCAATCCCGAATCAATTTCGTCTTTAAAATCCCTAATTTCAGTTTTAATAACTGTTAATAATGAGTTGACAAAACACAGAGTTGATTTGCATGAAATAATAAGGTTAGAAATCCTTGACAATTCTATCGCTCAACCAATTCCTCCACTGAGTATGAGTCTTTCTGGCGTCAAATGTCAAATGATAGTAATAAGCGTAAAAACGAGGACCAGGCTCTGGTTTATTTCTAAAACGAAGACCAACTTGTTAGAAGTATAATAGTCGACAATATGTATGAAAAGTATTCTCGATGTTCCTGAAAGTGTTTTAACTCGTGAAATACTGCAAGAAGGCCATTTAGAGATAAAAACACGAAACAAAGCTCAACTGGAGAATCTGATTTTGACACGTTACATGTTCCGACAAAAGCCATTCGTCTCAAAAGGCAGAGAGTTTAACCAACTAATAAGTGATCTTCTCTACGAAATAGCAGATCAAGCAGCTTTAATCAAATTACCTCCCAAATTCATGGAGCTTTATGAAATTCATCGGAAATGGTATCCGCTACTTTCAACCAATAACATAACACCAGAAGAGATAAATTTAATCTTGACTGCCAATGAAGTGAAGTTTAATCAACCTGAAGCAATATTTTTGACTGAATCAATTCCATTTCTGCGAGATTTATTGAATCCCATAGATTATGATAAATTTTTCATTCGTCTCATGATTCTTCGAGGAATCAAAGAATCTAAAGTTGATTATCTTCTGATGGCAAATGAAGTTTTCGAAAAATCTAACCTTAAATTGGTTCAAACAACAAATCAAACAGTTTACAGTTCATCTATTCTTAAATCAATGATAAACAAAATGAATGAAAATAAATTGGACACATTATTGGATCAACATCGAAATGAAGAAATCTTTGAACTTTTAGCATCTGAACCGGAACTTTCTAAACAAGAAGAAAAGTATTTTTGTCAAGCTATTGAATCATCACAACACTGGAAACGAGGTGTCGAAATACTTTCTCGACGCAATCAATACACTCATCAAATGCTAAATCTATTACGAATGTGTTTGAAGAATGGGGATAATCTATCAATTGATCGAGAGTTTGCTATTAAGCTTTTAGAATTAGGCACCGAAGATTACAATGCAATGGCCTGGACTTGTTTACTACAAACATTCATAAACGAGATGCGAAAACACATTGCCAAAGGGCAAATCACTTATTCTCGCATAAACGAGATGCGACTTGTTAACACGGACGAAGAAAAAGTTGTCGATTTGATTGATTCAGTTCACGTTTATCTGGGGAATAAAGGAGTTTGTTGTGATTCCAATGGAGAGTTTCTATCTCTATCACTTGATTTCTTGACCAATCAAGCAAATATCAAAAGAGAGAAATTAACCCTTAGTTGTCTTGGCTGTTTTTACAAAAAGCTAAAATGTAGCTTCCTGACTGCTCATAAAGGAACGGGGGTTAATCTACATTGGGACAATATTCATTTTATTTATGATCACTTTACTCCTAAAACGTTACCAAGTTTTGACGAAAGATCTGATCCGATTGATTCAAAGACTGAGGAGCTGTTTCGATCTTTACTTTCGCTGATTCCTGACAATTTAAATCCTGAAAGATATTCTCAATTTATTTCTGAATATATTGATAATGGAAAACCAATTGAAGCTTCATCAAATATTCCGAAACATCGAGTTACTCAAAATATTTATTATTATTTAGCTGATTATTACCTAAAACACCAAGACTTGAGTAAGTAGAATGTTTTCCATTAATTTTTTTAAATTTATTTATTTAATATGATTTCTAATTCTTTCTTTCTAAATCGTAGGAAAGCGATGAAATTTTATATTCTTGATTTAACTTTGAATCGCAATCGATTCGATTCATGGGTTGGTTGTGCTCTTTCACTAGCAGATGAGATTGAACAATATTCTTCGCCTGTAAGTATTAAACTTTAATATTAGAGTTTATTTTTTTCTATCAAGTTCTAATCTCAAATTTCTATTTAATTACAACTACAGAATTGTCAAGTTTTCTACTCATCTACTGAAGAAATGCTGCTCTTAGGAGAAAAAGTATTTCGGTGTTTCAATGAAGCGATTCGGCTCAAAGATAATAGATCCAAGGTATGGTATAAATATGGAAAGTGTGCTTATAACATCGCGAGTTATATTTCTCGAATCATGAAACTTGGAACAGTTTTGGAGAATTCACAAAAAGTAGAAATGAACCAACAGCATAAGCGATTCTTAGACCAAGCACAAGTTTGCTTCGAATCAACTAGCAAATTTTCTAAGGCTGATGAAATTCGGATGGCTTATAATTTGAGAGATGCTGAACAATTGTTCAAAATGGCAACGATTTTGGCTTCATCAGAATTGGGTAGCAAAGGATTTCTTCGTGAAACCGATCGGGAAAATCTTGAAAACAATCAATGCAACATTGTTTTAACATTTACGAAAGTCGAATTGCAAAAGCAAAAGGAAATCGAAACAGTTTAGATCAAATAAAAGTTGATGTAAGAAGAATTTGTAACAAATTGATGGAATATCCTATCTATAAAAAACAGGCTGAACAATTTCTCGAAAAACATGTCGAATGTGTAACAATTGATTAGTTGAAGTGATCGATTTCCATGATGAAAGATTTTTTTTAACAATATTTCTCAAATTTGCCAGAATCTTTAACGAAACTAAATTTCACAAATAATAAGGCGGCTTTGTCGAGTGTATAACAATTGATTAATTATCATCATTTGAGTGAATCTTTTTTAATTGATTGATTTTAACGATCAAAGATTTTCCAATTTACTTTTTTTTATGAGAACAAAAAAAATTTTCGAAACAAAATAATATATAATATCCTAAATAATAAAGAAATATAATAATCTTATTCAATTTATTATTTCCATTCTCACAAAAGTTTAATGTAAATTAGAATTTTTAATTTCTTGATTAATACAAATGTAATTGATAATAAACGACAATTAATTTATTTCATTAGAAGAGAACAAAAATTCAAATCAGCTGGTTCATTATAAGTTGTTGGAATTAGATAAACATATCATCCAATTGAATTGAGATTAAGAACGAAAATTCTTTAATTAGATTAATTAACATTCGAATCGCGCGCCTTTTTTTTGTTTTTGTTTTCTTTTTGAATGTTTACAAATTTTAGAAAATAATTTAGTCAACTTTAACCTGTTGCCTTAACCTACAAACTTTTAAATATTAATTTAACTAAATTTATCTTAATTATAGCAATTGTTAACCATTTAGGCCTTTTGTTAGTGGATTGGAATATTCATTTGAAACAATTAAAAAGAATCTTATTCCACTAAGAAAGTGAATCAATTAGTAAAAGTGTTTCCATTATTTTCCTTTTGGAAATTGAAACTTTTCTCGTTTGAATAGTTAACGAGGTTGATTGTTAACTATAAATGTTTGTTTCATTAAAAATTGATTGTCAACATTTATGCAAAATCGTTGGGACAGTCTCATGTTTAGCTCATATTATCTAATTGATTGATAATAATTTAGTGGTGACAGTGACTTTTACATGGTTAAAATGATCATATTCCATTGAATTATGATAAAAGTAAGTATTGATTTTGTTATCTATTTTATTATCCTTGTTTTATTAAATAATTCACTCTATCTATTAGAAGATATTTTACATCATCATATACTTATGACCATTTGCATCTCTTTATTTACAGGGAATAAGCAATCAATTGATCAACAAGTTGGACTGTGGTCACTATCAAAGCGACGTTTTTTATGTTCACAAATGTTTAAAGACATTTTGTCATCAATGTAAACAAGAAAACCGACCATGTGTCTTATGTAAAACCGATCTCATCGAAGCTGATTACCTCAAAGCCATTGACAAGAAAAGATGTGGAGATGATTCCGTTTGTAACAATCAAGCCATTTTCCATTGTTTGTGTAGTAAAAAAGATTTTTGTGAGGCTCATTTACTCAAATTTCATCGAAAAATTTTAGCATCTAAAAGATGTTGTGCTGTTATTCTCAATTCGAGCACGGATGAACCTTCATGTTCCAAATGTGACAATTTTATCGCTGAATTTGTGGACAAGATAACTAATGAACTATTCTGTGAGACATGTAGTAAGAATAAGTCAGCAAATATTGTGCCCATTGACCGTGACAATAACAACAATACCACCGTTAACATCGATATTGACAAAAATTTTCATATTCATCGGGATATTATTGGTAATCAATTGAATTTATTGAGCACAAAGCTTGAAGAGTATACGAATGAGTTTGAAAAAGAAAAGGCCAAGTTCAATAACGAAATCAACCACTTGCAAAAAGAATTGGAATCTTATGTGAACATTAACAAAGATCAAATAGACTCTTTGCGAGCTTCAGTGGACAAAGTTAAACAATTTTTAGATCTATTGAATCGCAGTGATAAACTTGGAATAATTAATCTAATCAAATCGGATAAACTCAACTATAAACTTGTAGACTCGAAATTACGGCTGTGGGTTGAAGAGATTGTCCAATCGTATAATATTCCTGAATTAACAAAATCGGGTTTTAACTGGATCGAAGAGACTGATTTTTATGAGTTGGTTCCTGGTCCACGGAATTGGAAGTCTAATCATAGTCCATTCTTTCCAGATAATATACTTAAATTGACTCACGACTTTATCAAAGATCATCTTCGCCATAAAAATGACTGTAACTCTCCATCCTGCCCCTGTAAGTCGAGCAATCTTATCAACTGTATCCAACAAAAGTTTGTCAACCTCACAAACCAGAAACAACTTACAAGAAACGATTTGGATTATTTTCTCGACTGTTCTTCCATTGCTGGTGGTGATGTTACTCTATTAATTGAAACTGGTAAACGAGCACTTAATCAAGCAGTAGATTTGACGTTTGCCCGAATATGTTTTGCTGAGGCACATCGAATCGATCCAAACAATTGGTTTGTTCTCGACACATTAATGGGTCTTCATTTCGTGCTTAATGATCACGATAATTGTCTACAACTCGCAATCAAAGGATTAATGATGGATGGCAATTACTTTAAAGGTCGTGTATTAGTCTCAGAGGTGTTGAAACGTTTGCCGCCTTTACGATCAAAATTACCTTCTGACCTACTGTTCATTGACATTTGGAATCCTTGTGAAGGTCATAGAAAGGTAAAAATTTTGGACGAGCTCGTGAGTTTAAGCAAACTCTATAATTTACGAAGCGTATGTGGAGCAAATCAAGATGATGCTCGGAAATTTTTGAATTTATCTCTCAATGCAGAAACACTCGTCGTTAAAATCCTAATTTCAGTTTTAATATCTGTTCATAATGAAATGACAAAACACAGAGTTGATTTAAATGAAGTAATAAGGTTAGAAATCCATAACAGTTCTATCGCTCAACCAATTACTCCTCCGAGTATTGATTGTACGCACATAGAAATGTCGAATCATAATACTAAGCGTAAAAAGAAAGGACGAAGCTATGGTTTATCTAATAAACTAAGATTATCTTCGGCTAAGCGTAAAAAGTCAACTATTCATGTATTAATATGTATAAAAAGTATTCTCGATGTTCCTGAGAGTGTTTTAACTCGTAAGATACACCAAGAAAGTGACTCAGAGATTCAAACACAGAACAAAGCTCAGGTGGAGAATCTGATTTTGACACGTTACATGTTCCGACAACCATTCGTCTCAAAAGGCAGAGAGTTTAACCAACTAATAAGTGATCTTCTCTACGAAATAGCAGATCAAGCAGCTTTAATCAAATTACCTTCCAATTTCATGGATCTGTATGGAATCCATCGAAAATGGTATCCGCTACTTTCAACTATTTCAACCAAGAACATAACACCAGAAGAGACAAACTTAATCTTAACTGCCAATGAGATGAAATTTAATCAACCTGAAGCAATATTTTTGACTGAATCAATCCCTTTTCTGCGAGATTTATTGAATCCCAACGATTATGATAAATTTTTCATTCGTCTCATGATTCTTCGAGGAATCAAAGAATCTAAAGTTGATTATCTTCTAATGGCAAATGAAGTTTTCAAAAAGTCTAACCTTAAATTAGTGCAAGGGGCAAATCAGACTGTCTATAACTTTTCTAGTCTTAGATCGATGATCAACGAGATGAACGAAAATAATTTGGACATGTTATTGGACCAACATCGACACGAAGAAATTGTTGAACTATTAGCATCTAAATCTGAGCTCTCCAGACAAGAAGAAGAGTCTCTGTCAAGCTATTCAATCGTCACAACAATGGAAACGAGGGATCGAAATAATTGCCCAAAGTAAAAAACTACGCGACACATTGCTAAATCTTTTAAAATCTTGTCTAAAGAATGGTGATGGAACATCTATTGATCAAGAATTGGCTATCAAATTGTTGAAGTTGGGAACAGAAGATTACAATGCAATGGCCTGGACTTGTATTCTACAAACATTCATAAACGAGATGCGACTTGATAACACAGACGAAGAAAAAGTTGTCGATTTGATTATTTCAGTTCATAATTATCTAGGGAATAAAGGATGGTGTTGGGATTTCAATGGAGAGTTTTTATCTCTAGCACTTGATTTCTTGATCTACCAAGTAAATATCAAAAGAGAAAAGTTAATTCTCAAATGTCTTGGTTGTTTTTACAAACAATTACGATGTAACTTCCTGACTGCTCATAAAGGAACGGGGGTTAATCTACATTGGGACAACATTCATTTTATTTATGATCACTTTACTCCTAAAAAGTTGCCAAGTTTTGACGAAAGTTCTGATCCAATTGATTCAAAGACAGAGGAGCTGTTTCGATCTTTACTTTCGATGATTCCTGACAATTTAAATCCTGAAAAATATTCTCAATTTATTTCTGAATATATTGATAATGGAAAACCAATTGAAGCTTCATCAAATATTCCAAAAGATCGAGTTACTCAAAATATTTATTATTATTTAGCTGATTATTACCTAAAACACCAAGACTTTAAGTAAGTATAATGATAATCCATTACTCTAATTCTGATTCATTTATTTAATTGATTTAATATAATTTCTAATTCTTTTTTGCTAAATCGTAGGAAAGCGATAAAATTCTACATTCTTGATTTAACTCTAAATCTTGATCGATTCGATTCATGGGTTGGTTGTGCTCTTTCACTAGCAGATGAGATTGAACAATATTCTTCACCTGCAAGTATTAAACTCGAGTTTATTTTGTTAAAGTTCTAATCTCAAATCTCTATTCTCTAACAGAATTGTCAAGTTTTCTACTCATCTACTGAAGAAATGTTGCTTTTGGGAGAAAAAGTATTTCGATGTTTCAATGAAGCGATTCGGCTTAAAGATAATAAATCCAGGGTATGGTATAAATATGGAAAGTGCTCATAACATCGAGCTATATTTCTCGAATCATGAAATCTGGACCAGTCTTGGAGAATTCACAAAAAGAAATGAACCAACAGCACAAGCGGTTTTAGACAAAGCACAAGTTTGCTTGAATCAACTAGCAAATTTTCCAGGGCTGACGAAATTCGGATGAATTATAATGGGTGATGCTGAAAATTGTTCAAAATTGCAACGTTTATGCTTCATCCGAATTTCAAAACATTTCTTCTTGATGCTGATCGGATTAATCTTGGAAAACAAGCAGTGGAACATTGTTTTAACGTTTACGAAAGTCGAATTGCAAAAGCAAAAGGAAATCGTAACAATTTAGATCAAATTAAAGTTGATGTAAGGAGAATTTGTAACAAATTGATGGAATATCCTATTTATAAACAACAGGCTCAACAATTTCTCGAAAAACATGTTCAATGTGTAACAATTGATGAATTTTAGCAATCGATTTTCATGATGAGAGGTTCTTTCAACAATATTTCTCGAATTTGCAAGAATCTTTTCTAATTCTTAACAAAACTAAATTTGTTCAATTTGAATAACTATTCTTATTACAACGAAAATATTTTTCTGCTATTTTTGACTAAAGATCTTTGGTTTTCTCGAAAGAAACTCAACGAACTTTGAAATTTCCATTATTCCACTCGATACAATCATTTATTGATAAAAGTTCACCTTTACATGGATCAGCAAAATTTGAATTTTTGGTATATGAAAAGCTCTAAGAACCAGATAAACAAATTCCAATTAAATTAAAATTAAGAATAAAATTCTGGTAATTTTGATTCGAATCTCGCCTTTTTGTTTTCTCTTTTTCTATTTTTAAAATTAAGAATAAAAATCTGTTATTACTCAGTTTTAAGCCATGTTTTCTTAAACTTTAACTTCGTTTCGGCATTAAATAAGATAATTTGTTCTTATAATTTAAAGAATCTTAAGTTACGCTTTGGTTTCCCCTTTGAGTCTTTAATTAATTTGTAACAATATTGTGAATCAAAAAACTGAATCAACTTGCAATTATCAATGCGCCTTTAAATTTGTTTCCAGTGTTTTCCTTTTGGTTGTGGAAATTTGGTCATAAGAATTGTTAACGAGGTTAATTGTTTAATGACAATGTTTACTTATTAAAAATGGATGTGATTATCAACATTGATCAATTGATCAACAAGTTGGACTGTGGTCACGATCAAAGTGATGTTTTTTATGTTCACAAATGTTTAAAAACATTTTGTGAAAAGTGTAAACAAGAAAATGATTTGTGTGTCTTGTGTAAATCTAAACTCGTCGAAACTGATTATCTCAAAGCCATTGAAAGGAAAAGATGTAGAGATGATTCCGTTTGTAACAATCAAGCCATTTTCCATTGTTTTTGTGATGAAAAAGATTTTTGTGAGCCTCATTTACTTAGTTTTCATAGAACAATTTTACCATCAAAACGATGTTGTGCTGTGATTCTCAGTTCGGAGACTGATGATCAACCATGTTCCAAATGTAGCAAATGTATCGCTCAATTTTTCGACAATGAAACCAGTGAATTGTTTTGTGCGAAATGTGCAAAGAATAACAATTCTTCTAATATCGTACCAATTGAATTAGACAACAACAACAACAATACCAACAACATCAAGAGTAACCGAAAATATTAAAATTTATCTTGCTGATGTACAAAAGCAATTGGATCTATTGAACATAAAACTAAAGAGTATACGAATGAGATTGAAAAGAAAAGGACAAGTTCGATAAGCAAATCAACCACTTGCAAAATTGGAATCTTATGTGAACATTAACAAAGATCAATTAGACTCTTTGCGAGCTTCAGTGGACAAAGTTAAACAATTTTGAATCTATTGAATCGCAGTGATAAACTTGGATAATTAATTTAATCAAGTCGGATAAACTCAACTATAAACTTGCGGACTCGAAATTACGGCTGTGGGTTGAAGAGATCGTCCAATCGTATAATATTCCTGAATTAACAAAATCGGGTTTTAACTGGATCGAAGAGACTGTTCTTCATGAGTTGGTTCCTGGTCCACGGAACTGGAAGTCTAATCATAGTCCATTCTTTCCAGATAATATACTTAAATTGACTCACGACTTTATCAAAGATCATCTTCGCCATAAAAATGACTGTAACTCTCCATCCTGCCCCTGTAAGTCAGGCAATCTTATCAACTCTATCCAACAAAAGTTTGTTCACCTCACAAACCAGAAACAACTTAGAAAAAACGATTTGGATTATTTTCTCGACTGTTCTTCCATTGCTGGTGGTGATGTTACTCTATTAATTGAAACTGGTAAACGAGCACTTAATCAGTCAGTAGATTTGCAGTTTGCTCGAATATGTTTCGAAGAAGCTCATCGAATCGATCCAACCAATTGGTTTGTTCTCGACACTTTAATGGGTCTTTATTTCGTGCTCAATGATCACAATAATTGTCTACAACTCGCAATCAAAGGATTAATGAAGGATGGCAATTACTTTAAAGCTCGTGTATTAGTCTCAGAGATGTTGAAACTTTCACCATCTTTAGAATCAGAATTGCCCGTCCGTCTTAATTATCTGAAAAGTTGGAATCCGCAGCTAGGCTTAGAAAGAAAGAGGAAACTTTTAGAAGTTATGGAGAATTTAAAACAACTCCATGAGCGACGAAAGGAAAGTGAAACAAAGCAAGAAAATGTTCGAAAATCTTTAAGTTTCGATCTCAATGACACCAGCTATGCTTCTTTAAAATCTGTCATTTCAGCCTTAATAGACGTTAAAAACAAAATGATAGAACATAAAGTCGATCCTAATTCGTTAATATCAATCACTATCTCTTCCAATCCTGTTCCAAATGGCAATGCTCCTCGGTCTATCCGTAGTTCTCACAAGAAAGCCCTAAATCAAAATAATAAGCGAAAGACCATAGGATCAAGAGGATCAAGTCCTGAGTTATCTGTCAAACGGAGACCAGTTCGAAATAAGAAGATAACCGATGCAACAGTCGACAATATGTACAAAAAGATTTTCTTCATGTTCCCAGAAAGTGTTTTAACTCGTGAAATAGTCCAGAAAGGCGACGAGTTAATGATACATACTCAGCACGAAACTCAAGTGCAACATTTAATTTTAACCCGTTATCGCTCGAAACAAATACCATTCGTATCAAAAGGAAAACAAATCGATCTGCTTATTAGCGATCTTCTTTACGAAATAGTAGACAAAGCAGCTTATATCAAATTACCTTCTAAGTTCATGGTTCTGTATGGAATTCATCGAAAAAGTTATCCATTGTCCAAACCTTCAACGTTTTGTACCAGTGGTATTGGAATATTAGCGACAAAATTGATCTTAACTGCCAATGAAGTGAAGTTTAATCAATCTGAAGCAATATTTTTGACTGAATCAATTCCATATCTGCGAGATTTATTGAATCCCAACGATTATGATAAATTTTTCATTCGTCTCATGATTCTTCGAGGAATCAAAGAATCTAAAGTTGATTATCTTCTAATGGCAAATGAAGTTTTCGAAAAGTCTAACGTCAAATTAGTGCAAAGAGCAAATCAAACAGTTTATAGTTCGTCTATTCTTAAATCAATGATCAACGAGATGAACGAAAATAATTTGGATACGTTATTGGACCAACATCGACACGAGGAAATTGTTGAACTATTAGCATCTAAATCGGAGCTCTCTAGACAAGAAGAAATGTACCTTTGTCGCGCCATTCAGTCATCAAAACAATGGAAACGTGGAATCGAAATTATTGCTAAAAGTAAACAATTAACTGATCGATTGTTAAAACTGTTACGAGCTTGTTTAAAGAATGGAGATAAACTATCAATTGATCGAGAATTGGCCATCAAATTGCTAAAATTAGGGACCAAAGATTACAATGCAATGGCCTGGACTTGTATTCTACAAACATTCATAAATGAAATGCGAGATGGTAAATTAGACGAAGGAAAAATCACCGGTTTGATTGGTTCAGTTCACGATTATTTAGGTCATAGAGATGCTTGTTGTGATTACAATGGAGAGTTTTTATCTCTCGCACTTGATTATCTGATTTTTCAATGTAGCAGAATCAAAGAGGGGCTAATTCTCAGCTGCCTTGGCTGTTATTACAAACAATTAGAATGTAGCTTTCTATCAGCTAATCATGAGTCGGGAGTTTCTCTACGTTGGAAGGACATTCGTCCTATTTACAATTACTTCATCCCTGAAACTTTGGCAAAATTTGATAGTGAAACAGATAAATCAATCGATTTAAATACTGTAGAGCTTCTACGCAATTTACTTCCCTTGGTCCCTGAAAATTTAAATCCTGAAAGATTTTCCAATTCTGTCAAAGAATTTATCGATCATGGAAAATCAATTGAGCTTACAACAATTATTCCAAAAAATCATGTTACTCGAGATCTTTACTATTATTTAGCTGATTATTACTTAAAACACGGCCACTTTCAGTAAGTTAATTCATTTTAATAGCTCGCAAATTTAAATGATTTCTAATAATATTATTTATCTAATTCATAGAAAAGCCATCAAATTTTATATTCTTGATTTAACTTTGAATCGAAGTCGATTTGATTCATGGGTTGGTTGTGCTCTCGCAATAACGTCAAATTGATCAATATTCTTCGACTGTAAGTATTTAATCTTGTGTTTATTTTGTTAATTTCTAATCTTAATTAATCTCTAATTTCTTTTAAAACAGAGTTGTCGATTTCTGCTCATCTACTGAAGAAATGTTGCTTTAGAAGAAAAGTATTTCGGTGTTTCAATGAAGCTTCGGCTTAAATAATAATTCAAGGTATGGTTCGAAAATGGAAAGTGCTTATAACATCGCGAGTTATATTTCTCGAATCATAAAATTGGACCAGTGTTGGAAAATTCGAGAAAAGAAACAATCGGCGAAAAGCAATTCTTAGATCAAGCTCGAGTTTGCTTCGAATCAGCTAACAAATTTGCTAATGCTGATGAAATTTGGATGAATTATTATTTCTTAGGAAAAATTGCTGAAAAGTAACATCTTACAAACACTTATATGAATTATCTAAGCTTCATATATTCTCAAGTGCAGCAAATTGCGGAATCGTTTATGACTATGGAATTTGTGATAATTTTGGCAACGAAATTCACTATCGTATTCACGCTTGTGTCCTCAAGTATATTAATAGGCACAAAACTCCGCCAACAAAAATATTATCACAGATTATGTTGTTTCTAACTCGTGCTAAAAAAAGCTATTTCGGTTCTGAGTTTAATCTAAGAGATGAAACAGATGATGAAATCATGCAAGATGTCAACTCAACGATGACTGATTTGGCTACTCTGGTCCATGATGGAATCCTCGAAAGTGATAGCGAGCAACTATTCACCAGAATAGTACAAATGTGTCTTGAAGCGATTTTAGATATTTTAAGAGAATTATCTCAGCATTACAAATCACTCTTTCGAATTGCTCATCATTATTTTCTGACTGAAGACTATCAATTCTCACAAAAGATACTTTCAGGTAGTTTTCTATTTCCACCTAATTCACAAGGGTCTACATCAAATGGGGAAATTTCAACTGTTTCAGAATACAGGCATAGGTTTGATGGTCTTTTTGACTTGACTAGAGATTGGGACGTACTCCCTGATCTAATGGACCTAGATGCGATATTTGACAGACCAGGAAGTTTTATTACTCATATGCTTCGATCGACTCAGTTATTGATTAATGTAAACAAGAATTTGGGAGATGCTGAACAATTGTTCAAAATCACAATGCTTCTGAGCTCAGAAGCATTTGAAGAATATCTTTGTGAAACCGATCAGGAAAATCTTGGAAAGCAAGCAATGGAACATTGTTTCAACATTCACGAAAGTCGCATTGCAAAAGCAAAAGGAAATCGTAACAATTTAGATCAAATAAAAGTTGATATAAGGAGAATTTGTAACAAATTGATGGAATATCCTATCTATAAACAACAGGCTCAACAATTTCTCGAAAAACACGACGAATGTATAACAATTGATTAATTGTATTGATCGATTAATATAAGCAACAGACTCAACAATTTCTCGAAAAACGTCGAATTTGTAACAATTGATTAATTTTATTAATTGATTTCCATGGTGAGAGATTTTTTAAAGAATATTTTTTAAATTGCAAGAACCATTTCCAATTCTTAACGAAACTCAATTTGTTCAATTTGCATGATTATTTTATTTTTATGAAAAACATTTTCTGTTATTATTTTATGACTTGAGATCTTTGGTTTTCTCGAAAGAAACTCACCGAACTTTTGAAATTTCCATAATTCCACTTCATCGAATCAATAATTGATCAACGTTCTCCTTTAAATGGGCCATCAAAAATTTGAATCTATGGTATATGATAAGCTCTAAGAACCAGATAAACAAATATTCCAATTAAATTGTAATTAAGAATAAAATTTCTGGTAATTAAATAATTTGATTCGAATCTCGCGCTTTTTTTGTTTTTCTCTTTTTTCTATTTTTTAAAATGAAGAGTAAAAAAACTGTTACTTTAACTCTCGTTCAACGAGTCTCGTTGCCTTAAACTTTGAGCTTCGTTTCGGCCTCAAATTATGTAATTTGTTCTTTTAATTTAATGAATCTTAAGTTTTACTTTGGTTTCCCCTTTGAGTCTTTAATTTGTAACAATTATTAACAAGAAACTGAATCAACTTGCAATTATCAATAAGCCTTTAAATTTGTTTCAGTGTTTCCGATGTTTAAGGATGTGAAATTTGGTCATAAGAATTGTTAACGAGGTTAATTGTTTAATAACAATGTTTACTTATACAAATGGATGTGATTATCAACATTGACAAGCAAGAAAATGTTAAATTGTTAAATCTAATTATCTAGCTAAATGGTAATTAATTAATGGTGCCAATCTTATCGTCTCTACAGTTACTTTGCAGGATTAAAATTTCCAAACAACAATTTTAAAGCTCATGTCATGTTGGAATTGGCCTTCAATATTTTGATTTTAACTCCTTTGATCATCTCTTGACTAATATTACATTGTTTAACTCAAAATTTGATCTTTTATCAACAAGAAATGAGTAGTCAATCAAACGACAATCTGGACTTATGGTCACGATCAAAGTGATGTTTTTATGTTCAAAATGTTTAAAACATTTTGTGGAAAGTGTAAACAAGAAAATGATTTTTTTTGTGTCTTGTGTAAATCTAAACTCGTCGAAACTGATTATCTCAAAGCCATTGAAAGGAAAAGATGTGGCTTTTCGCCATCTTTGAATCCAAATTGCCTGTCCGTCTTGTTGTAAGTTGGAATCTGGTAGAAGACTTAGAAAGAATGATAGAAACTTCTAGGTACTGGAAATTTAAAACAACTCCATGAGACAGAAAGTGAAGCAAAACGAAAATTTTCGAATCTTTAAGTTTCGATCTCAATAGCACAACTATAACTCTTCAAATCTCTAATTTCAGCCTTGATAGACGTTAAAACAAAATGACAGAACATAAAGTCGATACAATTCGTTAATATCCAATCACTATCTCTTCAATCCTGTCCCAAATACTTCAATGCTCCTCCAGTCTGTCCGAGTTCTGCAAAGAGCACAATCAAAATAATAAGCGAAAGACCACATGGGTCAAGTCCTGGGTATCTATGAAACGAAGATCGGTTCGTGATAAAAAAAGAACAACCATTACAACTGATCGACAATATGTACAAAAGGTTTTCTTCATATTTCCCGAAAGTGTTTTAACTCGTGAAATAGTCCAGAAAGGCGATGAGTTGAGAATACATACACAGGCAGAAAGCTCAAGTGGAACGTTGTTTAACATGTTATCGCTCCGAAACAAATACCATTCGTCTCAAAACAAATCCACCTGCAACATCTCTGATCTTCTCTACGAAATAGCAAACAGATCCTGCAATCAAATTACCTTCTAATTTCATGGATCTGTATGGAATTTATCGAAAAAGGTCCAAACTTTCAACGCTTTGTACCAGTGGTATTGGAATATTAGCGACAAAATTGATCTTAACTGCCAATGAAGTGAAGTTTAATCAATCTGAAGCAATATTTTTGACTGAATCAATTCCATATCTCCGAGATTTATTGAATCCCAACGATTATGATAAATTTTTCATTCGTCTCATGATTCTTCGAGGAATCAAAGAATCTAAAGTTGATTATCTTCTAATGGCAAATGAAGTTTTCGAAAAGTCTAACCTCAAATTAGTGCAAGCGGCAAATCAGACTGTCTATAACTCTTCTAGTCTTAGATCAATGATGAACAAGATGAATGAAATAATTTGGACACGTTATTGGATCAACATCGACACGAGGAAATTGTTGAACTATTAGCATCTAAATCTGAGCTCTCTAGACAAGAAGAAGTGTACCTTTGTCGCGCCATTCAGTCATCAAAACAATGGAAACGTGGAATCGAAATTATTGCTAAAAGTAAACAATTAACTGATCGATTGTTAAAATTGTTACGAGCTTGTTTAAAGAATGGAGATAAACTATCAATTGATCGAGAGTTGGCCATTAATTTGCTCAAATTAGGAACTGAAGATTACAATGTAATGGCCTGGACTTGTATTCTACAAACATTCATAAATGAAATGCGAGATGGTAAATTAGACGAAGGAAAAATCACTGGTTTGATTGGTTCAGTTCACGATTATCTAGGAATAAAGGAGCATGTTGTCACTCAAATGGCGAGTTTTTATCCCTCGCACTTGATTATCTGATTTTTCAATGTAGCAGAATCAAAGAGGGACTAATTCTCAGCTGCCTTGGTTGTTTTTACAAACAATTAAAATGTAGCTTTCTATCAGCTAATCATGAATCGGGAGTTTCTCTACATTGGAAGGACGTTCGTTCTATTTACAATTACTTCATCCCTGAAACTTTACCAAAGTTTGATAGTGAAAAAGATAACTCTATTGATTTAAATACTGAAGAGCTTCTACGCAATTTACTTCCCTTGGTCCCTGACAATTTAAATCCTGAAAGATTTTCTAATTCCGTCAAAGAATATATCGATCATGGAAAATCAATTGAGCCTACTACAAGTATTCCAAAAAATCATGTTACTCGAGATCTTTACTATTATTTAGCTGATTATCACTTGAAAAACGAGGAGTTGGAGTAAGTTATTTCATTATAATCGCTCGCAAATTTAAATGATTTCTAATAATATTATTTATCTATTTCATAGAAAAGCCATCAAATTTTATATTCTCGATTTAACTTTAAATCGAAGTCGATTTGATTCATGGGTTGGTTGTGCTCTCGCAATAACGAGGCAAATTGATCAATATTCTTCGACTGTAAGTATTTAATCTTGTGTTTATTTTGTTAAATTTCTAATCTTTAATTAATCTCTAATTTCTTTTAAAACAGAGTTGTCGAGATTTCTACTCATCTACTGAAGAAATGTTGCTTTTAGGAGAAAAAGTATTTCGGTGTTTCAATGAAGCGATTCGGCTTAAAGATAATAATTCAAAGGTATGGTTCGAAAATGGGAAGTGTGCTTATAACATCGCGAGTTATATTTCTCGGATCATAAAATTTGGACCAGTTTTGGAAAATTCGAGAAAAGAAGCAATGAATCAACGGCGAAAGCAGTTCTTAGATCAAGCTCGAGTTTGCTTCGAATCAGCTAACAAATTTGCTAATGCTGATGAAATTTGGATGAATTATTATTTCTTAGGAAAAATTGCTGAAAGAAGTAACATCTTACAAACACTTCGATATTATGAATTATCTAAGATTCATATGCTCTCAACTCCAGCAATACTAAGTTACCGTAATAATGTCAATAATAAGTGTTTTCGCGCCGAAATTCACTATCGTATTCACGCTTGTGTCCTCAAGTATATTTATAGGCACAAAACTCCGCCAGCAAAAATATTATCACAGATCATGTTGTTTCTAATTCGTGCTGAAAAAAGCTATTACGTTGCCAAGTTTAATCCAAGAGATGAAACAGATGATGAAATTATGGAAGATGCCAACGAAACGGTGACTGATTTGGTTACTCTGGTCCAAGATGAAATCCTCGAAAGTGACAGTGAGAAACTATTCACCAGAATAGTACAAATGTGCCTTGAAGAGTTTCTTCACATTTTAGAAGATTATCATCAGCATTACAAATCACTCTATCGAATTGCTCATCATTATTTTCTGACTAAAGACTATCGATTCTCACAAAAGGTACTTACAAAATCATTTCAATCTCCAATTACTTCACAAGGGTCTACATCAGATGAGGAAAGTTCAACTGATTCAGACTATACGTTTGAAGGTCTTTTTGACTTGACTGTACCTTCGCGTCTATTCCCTCTTCAAAGGACACCAAGTGGCATATTAAAGAGACCAGGAAATTATATTACTCATATGCTTCGATCGACTCAGTTATTGATTAATGTAAACAAGAATTTGGGTGATTCTGAACAATTGTTTAAAATCGCGACGCTTTTGTGCAAATCAACATATCAAGGTTATCTTCTTGAAACCGATCGTATCAATCTTGGAAAACAAGCAATGAAACATTGTTTAAACATTTACGAACGTCAAATTGCAAAAGCTAAAGGAAATCGTAACAATTTAGATAAAATTAAAGATGATGTAAGGAAAATATGTAAAAAATTGATTGAATATCGTATCTATAAACAACAGGCTCAACAATTTCTCGAAAAACATGTCGAATGTATAACAATCGATTAATTGTATTAATCAATGATGTCGATGATCTGGATTGTACCTACAATCAAAACAAAATAGCAAAATAAATTTGAGCAAAAATAACAATCTCGATACGATTACATGTTTTATCTCGATTAAAAACTGACCTCAGATTTGAGTTTAAGTTTATTCTTGTGTCCATCGTTAATTAACTCATTATCTTGAGACTAGATTCACGTCTTGAAATTGACTTAATTTTTGTCGTTGTATTATAAATGAAATAAATCATTGGGAAGTTGATTGAATGTCATTAATTTGATTAAAAGTAAATACAGTTGAGTAAATGAGTTTGTTGTTTGTTACGCTTTCATGACTATTAATTTAACATTGAAGGTCTCATTTCATGTTTACACCTTTCCAACAAAACAGTTTGTCATTGTTACAATCAAATCACAATTGTTAAGGTTAACCTATGAAACTATTTGAGTATTAATAGTATGATTAAAGATGAAGTTAAAATCAAATTATCTAAACATCGGTTTTTGGTCTTAACGATTTACTGTTTGACCTGTTTACATACAAACTCCCAATGGACGCAGTACCAAGTGATTGCGGACATTTTAAGGCCTTACTTTGGCGCTTCTAACACGGATATCGACTGGACAGTGACTCTTTGGTGTCCAGTTTATTTGTTAACATGTTTCATCTCAGCTTATTGTTTGGATGTGTTTGGCCTCCGTTTTTGTATGATTTCGGCATCGGGATTTAATTTCATTGGAACCGCAATCAAATATTATTCAATCGTCTATCCTAATTTTCTGATCACTTGTTTAGGCCAATCAATTGTCGCTGCTGGTCAAACTTTTCTTGCTTTTCTCCCGTCAAGTATTGCATTGACCTGGTTCCCTGCAGAAGTAGCCTCGACCATAACGGCGATTGCTATTTTCCCGATGTTCTTTGGTAATGGATTAGGTTATTATCTTCCATCTCTCGCTGTTCCCGATGGATCTTCACCAAGTGTCCAAAAAATAGACCTTGAACGTTTCTTTTCTACTACGCTTTGAGTGGGTTTTATTATACTTTCTGAATTTATTTCTGGTAAAAATCAGCTGAATATCCATAAGTTTTGCCTCGGCTAAAGCAGCAGCTGAGTACGGAATTCATTGAATCATGGAAAGTGATTCTTACCAATCGAGTCTCTAATTTTATATTAATCACTTTTACTTTTCTTCAAACACTGGCCAATGTTGTCCTTGGACTATTAAGTCCAATGATTAGTAAATATTTTCCTAATCAAAACATCCTGATTGGTATAATCGGTGCGATTGCGTCTCTTTCAAGTGTATTCGGTTCGCTAGTATTGGCCTGGGTAACCGATAAAACGAGAAAGTATAAATTGGTAACTTTGATTAGCTCCATTCTTATGGTTCCATTATTTGGGCTATTAATTTATTCCCTAGAAATGGGAAGCAAGTTGTTTGTAACAATCGTGGTCACTTTATTAGGCTTCTTGTTAGCAGGAACTTACCCAATAGGAATGGACTTCATTGTCCAGGCCAATTATCCAATGTCCGAATCAGTTTGTGTCACTCTAATGATGTTTTCTAATCAATTGATCAGTTGGCCAGCGACAGTTTTAGTTTCGCATCTTTTACAATACTACAATTTGTATTATGCTTTTTCTCCGTTTCTATTAATGCTTGTAATTGCTTTGATTACTGTTCTTTTCACCAAAGATCAACTTAATCGAGATAAAGCAAATTTAGAAATAACATAATTAATGGAACAATTGTATAATGTATTTGAATGAATAATTGTAAACTATAAATAAACATAAAATTTTATTAGATTTTGTTTCAGTGTGATTTCCGCAATTACTTTATTAATATAAACTAATTGTACAATCAGGATCACGATTTTTAAAATATAAAATAAATTTACGAATGAATGAATGAATGAATGAATGAAAGAAAATCGGATTGTTTTAGAATTTACGAGAATTTAATTGTCGGAGCAAAATTGGATTTCATGGTGAGAATATCTCGTAACAAATTCTCTAACAATTTCGATATAAACTTGTTGATTTTATCTGCGAACTGGAATATTTTTATTCTGAAAGATTAAGTCAACAAAGAAAAAGTGTAGGATCGACTTTCGATTCTAAAGCCATTAGAAGTGTTTCCATTATTTTTCTTTTGGATTCTTGCAATTTGTCAAAATGTTTTACAAGTTAATCGTTTCCACCAACTTACCCTATGAGGAAACCACTTCAAAACCACAATTGGTGGAAACATTAGGCATTTTGACTATGATTGTTACAAATATTTTGCTTCTCATGCTTGATTCTCCGACCACGCACAAGTTTGCTTCGAATAAACTAGCAAATTTTCCAGAGCTGAAGAAATTAAACAGAGAAACAGTGAAGGGAGGCATTTGAAAAAGTGTGATGAAACATTGTTTCTGTTGAAAAATAAATTGACCATCATGATGCATGTTTCTTTCTAATTACTCTTTACCTTTTTTCTCATCTTAATAAGTTTTTTTATTATCTTTCTTCCTTTCTACAAATTCCTTCTTTCTTTACTTCTCTTTTGAAATTCTATAGATTAGAGAAAAAAATTACATGGGAGAAAGATAATGAAAAAAACTAATTAAGTTAAGAAAAATGGAAAAGATTGATCAATAAATAACATCTGTCGTGATGGTCGATTAATTTTTCGATAGAAACAAAATTCCATCACATAGTCAAATGATAATTGATAGTAACAATCTTAACGTCTCATAAGTTACTTTAAAAGATTAAAATACCGATCAACCATTTTCAATAGTGATTTCAGAAGCTAATGTTGGTAATTGTCCTTAATATTTTGCTTTGGACTCATTTAATCATCTCTACTATCGATCATGGAAGAAGTGAGTATAAATTTTTGACTAACCTTTCACTCAAACATTTTAATCTTGTCATCAACAAGAAATGAGTAATCAATCAATCGACAAGCTGGACTGTGGTCACAATCAAAGTGATGTTTTTTATGTTCACAAATGTTTAAAAACATTTTGTGGCAAGTGTAAACAAGAAAATGATTTGTGTGTCTTGTGTAAATCTAAACTCGTCGAAACTGATTATCTCAAAGCCATTGAAAGGAAAAGATGTAGAGATGATTCCGTTTGTAACAATCAAGCCATTTTCCATTGTTTTTGTGATGAAAGAGATTTTTGTGAGCCTCATTTACTTAGTTTTCATAGAACAATTTTACCATCAAAACGATGTTGTGCTGTGATTCTCAGTTCGGAGACTGATGATCAACCATGTTCCAAATGTAGCAAATGCATCGCTCAATTTTTCGACAATGAAACCAGTGAATTGTTTTGTGCAAAATGTGCAAAGAATAACAATTCTTCTAATATCGTACCAATTGAATTAGACAACAACAACACAGATACCAACAACATCAGAGTAACAGAAAATATTAAAATTTATCTTGATGATGTACAAAAACAATTGGATCTATTGAACATAAGACTAAAAGAGTATACGAATGAAATTGAAAAAGAAAAGACAAAGTTCAATGAAGAGATTGACTACTTGCAAAAGGAATTGGAATCTTATGTGAACAGTAACAAAGATCAATTAGACTCTTTGCGAAATGCAGCTGACAAAGTTAAACAATTTTTGAATCTATTGAATCGAAATGATAAACTTGGAATAATCAATATCATCAAGTCGGATAAGCTCAACTATAATCTTGCGGACTCGAAATTACGGCTTTGGGTTAAGGAAATTGTCCAATCGTATAGTATTCCTGAATTAACAAAATCGGGTTTTAACTGGATCGAAGAGACTGATTTTCATGAGTTGGCTCCTGGTCCACGGAATTGGAAGTCTAATCATAGTCCATTCTTTCCAGATAATTTACTTAAATTGGCTCACGACTTTATCAAAGATCATCTTCGCCATAAAAATGACTGTAACTCTCAATCCTGCAACTGTAAGTCAGGAAATCTTATGAACTGTATCCAACAAAAGTTTATCAACCTCACGAATCAAAAACAACTTACAAAAAACGATTTGGATTATTTTCTGGACTGTTCTTCCATTGCTGGTGGTGATGTTACTCTATTAATTGAAACTGGTAAACGAGCACTTAATCAGTCAGTCGATCTGACGTTTGCTCGAATATGTTTTGAAGAAGCTCATCGAATCGATCCAACCAATTGGTTTGTTCTCGACACTTTAATGGGTCTTTATTTCGTGCTCAATGATCACAATGAATGTCTACAACTCGCAATCAAAGGATTGATGAAGGATGGCAATTACTTTAAAGGTCGTGTATTAGTCTCAGAGGTGTTGAAACTTTCGCCATCTTTAGAATCCAAATTGCCTGTCCGTCTTAATTATCTAAAAAATTGGAATCCTGAGCAAGGCTTAGAAAGAAAGAGGAAACTTTTGGAAGTTCTGGAGAATTTAAAACAACTCCATGAGAGACGAAAGGAAAGTGAAACAAAACGGGAAAATGTTCGAAAATCTTTATGCTTCGATCTCAATGACACAAGCTATAACTCTTTAAAATCTGTCATTTCAGCCTTGATAGACGTTAAAAACAAAATGACCGAAAACAGAGTCGATCCAAACTCGTTAATATCAATCAAAGTCTCTTTCAATCCGGTCCAAAATTGCAATGCTTCTCAATCTATCCGTAGTTCTCACCAGGAAGCCCTAAATCAAAATAATAAGCGAAAGACACGAGGGTCAAGTCCTGAGTTATCTGTCAAACGAAGATCAGCTCGAGATAAAAAGACAACCGATGCAACAGTCGACAATATGTACAAAAAGATTTTCTTCATGTTTCCTGGAAGTGTTTTAACTCGTGAAATAGTCCAAGAAGAAGAGTTACAGGTACAAACACATAACGAAGCTCAAGTGGAACATTTAATTTTAACCCGTTATCGCTCGAAACAAATACCATTCGTCTCAAAAGGAAAACAAATCGGTCTACTAATAAGAGATCTTCTCTACGAAATAGCAGACCAAGCAGCTTTAATCAAATTACCTTCTAATTTCATGGATCTGTATGGAATTCATCGAAAAAGTTATCCATTGTCCAAACCTTCAACGTTTTGTACCATTGGTATTGGAATATTAACGACAAAATTGATCTTAACTGCCAATGAAGTGAACTTTAATCAATCGGAAGCAGTATTTTTGACTGAATCAATTCCATTTCTGCGAGATTTATTGAATCCCAACGATTATGATAAATTTTTCATTCGTCTCATGATTCTTCGAGGAATCGCAGAATCTAAAGTTGATTATCTTCTAATGGCAAATGAAGTTTTCGAAAAATCTAACCTTAAATTGGTTCAAACCACAAATCAAACAGTTTATTGTTCGTCTATTCTTAAATCAATGATCAACAAGATGAACGAAAATAATTTGGATACGTTATTGGACCAACATCGACACGAGGAAATTGTTGAACTGTTAGCATCTAAATCTGAGCTCTCTAGACAAGAAGAAGTGTACCTTTGTCAAGCTATTCAGTCATCGAAACAATGGAAACGAGGAGTCGAAATTATTGCTAAAAGTAAACAATTAACTGGTCGATTGTTGAAACTGTTACGAGCTTGTTTAAAGAATGGTGATAAATTATCAATTAACGGAGAATTGGCTATCAAATTGCTTAAATTAGGGACTAAAGACTACAATGCAATGGCCTGGACTTGTATTCTACAAACATTTATAAATGAAATGCGAGTTGGTAAATTAGACGAAGGAAAAATCAGTGGTTTGATTGGTTCAGTTCACGATTATTTAGGTCATGTAGGTGCTTGTTGTGATTACAATGGAGAGTTTTTATCTCTTTCATTAGATTATCTGATTAATCAATGTAACAGAAAGAAAGAGAGACTAATCAACAGCTGTCTTGGTTGTTTCTACAATCAATTAACATGTAGCTTCCTTATCTCTCATCATGAAGCGAGAGTTACTCTACGTTGGAAGGACATTCGTCCTATTTACAATCACTTCATTCCTAAAACTTTACCAACTTTTGATAGTGAAACAGGTAAATCGATTGGCTCAAATATTGAGGAGTTATTACGCAGTTTACTTCTCTTGGTCCCTGACAATTTAAATCCTGAAAGATTTTCCAATTCTGTCAAAGAATATGTCGATCATGGAAAATCAATTGAGCCTACAACAAGTATTCCAAAAGATCATGTTACTCGAGATCTTTACTATTATTTAGCTGATTATTACTTGAAGAAGGAAGACTTTCAGTAAGTTAATTCATTTTAATAGCTCGCAAATATAAATGATTTCTAATAACATTATTTATCTAATTCATAGAAAAGCCATCAAATTTTATATTCTTGATTTAACTTTAAATCGCAATCGATTTGATTCATGGGCTGGTTGTACTCTCTCAATGACAGATCTAATCTACCAATATTCTTTACCAGTGAGTATTTGATCTTTTGTTTATTTTGTTGCAATTCTAATCTTTAATTATCTCTAATTCTTTTTGAAACAGAGTTGTCAAGTTTTCTACTCAGCTATTGATGAAGTGTTGCTTTTGGGAGAGAAAGCTGGTCGATGTTACAATGAAGCACTTCGACTTAAAGAAGGTGAATCTAAATTAATGACTAAATATGGAAAGTGTGCTTATAACATCGCGAGTTATATTTCGCGAGTCATGAAATTTGGACCAGTTTTAGAGAATTCACAAAAAGAAGAAATTAAAAAACAACGAAATCAATTCTTAGACAAAGCTCGAGTTTGCTTCGAATCAGCTAACAAATTCGCCAATGATGACGAAATTTGGTTAAATTACTATTTCTTAGGAAAAATCGCTGAAAAAAGTAACATCTTACAACCACTTCGATATTATGAATTATCTAAGCTTCATATGTTCTCAAGTGCAGCAAATCGTGGTATCGATTATGTCGATGAAATTTGTGATGGGTTTGGCAACGAAATTCATTATCGTATTCATGCTTGTGTCCTCAAGTATATTAATAGGCACAAAACTCCGCCAGCAAAAATATTATCACAGATCATGTTGTTTCTAACTCGTGCTAAAAAAAGCTATTTTGGTTCTTGGTTTAATCTAAAAGATGAAACAGATGATGAAATCATGCGAGATGTCAACGAAACGGTGACTGATTTGGCTACTCTAGTCCATGATGGAATCCTCGAAAGCGATAGTGAGCAATTATTCACCAGAATAGTACAAACGTGTCTTGAAGAGTTTCTTTACATTTTAAAAGATTATCGTCATCATTACAAATCGCTTTATCGAATTGCTCATCATCATTTTCTGACTGAAGACTATCGATTTTCACAAAAGGTACTTACAGATAGATTTCAATTTCCAACTACTTTACAAGGCTCTTCATCCGATGTTGGTAGTTCAGCCGGTTCAGAACACATGTTTTATGGTCTTTTTGACTTGACTACATCTTGGTGTCTATTCCCTATGCAAACGACACCAGATGACATATTAAAGAGGTCAGGAAATTTTATCACTCATATGCATCGGTCGACTCAGTTATTGATTAATGTAAACAAGAATTTGGGTGATGCTGAACAACTTTCCAAAATTGCAGCACTTCTGGCTTCATCAGAATTAGGTAGTCAAGGATTGTTTTATGATTCTGATCGGGTCACTCTTGGAAAACGATCAATGGAACATTGTTTTAACATTTACGAAAGTCGAATTACAAAAGCAAAAGAAAATTGTAACAATTTAGATAAAATTATAGCTGATGTAAAGAGCACTTGTAGCAAATTGATGGAATATCCTATCTATAAACAACAGGCTCAACAATTTCTCAAAAAACATGATGCATGTTTAACAATTGATTAATTTTATTAATCGATTTCCATAATGAGAGATTTTTTTAACAATATTTCTAAAATTTACGAGAATCATTTCAAAATTTAACTAAAATAAAATTATTACAATAGGATTAATTACTTTTATCACTACGAAAACATTTCCCTGTTCCAAAAAACAACATCAGAGTAACAGAAAATATTAAAATTTATCTTGCTGATGTACAAAAGCAATTGGATCTATTGAACATAAAACTAAAAGAGTATACGAATGAAATTGAAAAAGAAAAGGATAAGTTCAATAACGAAATCAACCACTTGCAAAAAGAATTGGAATCTTATGTGAACATTAACAAAGATCAATTAGACTCTTTGCGAGCTTCAGTGGACAAAGTTAAACAATTTTCGAATCTATTGAAACGAAATCATAAACTTGGAATAATCAATCTAATCAAGTCGGATAAACTTAATTATAAACTTGCGGACTCGAAATTGTGTCTTTTTGTCAAGGAAATCGTCCAATCGTATAATATTCTTGAATTTACAAAATTCGGTGTTGTTTGAAGTAGAGAGACTGCTCTTCATGAGTTGGTTCCTGGTCCACTGAATTGAAAGTCTAACCATAGCCCATTCTTTCAGATAACCTACTACTCGTAGACTGATGATCCAACATTCTATTAATTTTCGGTTTCTAAAAACTGAAAGAATTTATGAATGAATGAAGGAAAGAAAATCAGATTGTTTTAGAATTTACGAGAGTTTAATTGTCGGAGCAAAATTGGATTTCATGGTGAGAATATCTCGTAACAAATTCTCTAACAATTTCGATATAAACTTGTTGATTTTATCTGAGAACTGGAATATTTTCATTCTGAAAGATTAAGTCAACAAAGAAACAGTAAAGGATCGACTTTAAATTCGAAAGATTCTCAAAGTGTTTCCATTATTTTCCTTTTGGATTCTTAAAATTGGTCAAAGTGTTTAACAAGTTAATTGTTTCCATCAATTGTTTACTTATAAGAGTTAACATTATATTAACTTATTTATAAGCTAAAAGTTTCGAGTGTTTTTTTTATCAGAAAGAACTGATAAAAATGTTTAATTTTGTCAAGCTAACATTTGCAAAAGATAATTAATCATTTTGACCATTTAAATGAGTGGATCGAAATACTTGTTTGTAACAATTAAGGGGACTTGGAATTTGAATGTTGATTATTTATTGATACGCTTTCCATAAATAAAGTTGATTTCTTCGATCATCTTTCTGGCTCATATTCACCAACCGAGATCAAAAGCTGAAATCGATTAATTCAAAGATCAATTGATTAATCTTCATGGCAGAAGTAAGTATTTTTTTTGGCCTTTCCATTACTATCGTTTAACTAACCTTTTACTCAATTCAACCACTTGAATCTCTTGATCCGAAACAGGTAACAAGTAGCCAATCAATCGCCAAGTTGGACTGTGGTCACGATCAAAGTGACGTTTTTTATATTCACAAATGTTTGAAGACGTTTTGTGATGAGTGCAGGCAAGAAAATCGTTTAAGTGCCTTGTGGAACATTGAACTTGTCGAAACAGATTATCTCAAAGCCATTGACAGGAAAAGATGTGAAGATGATTCCGTTTGTAACAATCAAGCAATTTGCCGTTGTTTGTGTGGAAATAAAGATTTTTGTGATATTCATTTCGTCAGATTTCATAGTATAGTTTATCAACCAAAAAGATGCTCGCCTACGATCATCGATTCGAACTCAAACGCCGAACCATGTTCCAGGTGTGAGTATTTCATCGCTAAATTTATGGACCAGACAACTAATGAGTTTTTCTGTGGATCATGCAAAAATGATGATAACTCATGCAATTTCGTGGAAATTGCACCAGACAACAACGATACAAACAACAGAAATATTACCGAAAATCTTAAAATTTATTGTGCTGATGTACAAAAGCGATTTGATCTGTTGAACACAAAACTAAATAGTACACGATCGAGAAAACGAAAAATAATTCAATAAAGGAATCGGTCACATGAGAAGTGAATTAAAGTGTTACTTGAGTGCTAACAAGGTCAAAATTGATTCTTTGCGAGCGGAAGTGGACAAAGTTAAACAATTTCTGAAACAATTGAATCGCAGTGATAAATTTGGAATATTCGATCTCATCAAGTCGAATAAGCTTAACAATAAGCTTGCGGACACGAAATTAAAGTTATGGGTCGAAGAGATAGTGAAATCGTATGTTATTCCTGAATTGACCAAATCGGGTGTAGATTGGGCTAAAGAATCTGAAAAAGCTTTTCATGAAATGGTTCCTGGTCCACGGAACTGGAATCTCAATCATGGTCCATTCTTTCCTGATAGTTTACTCGAATTAACCTACGACTTAATCAAAGATATGAATTCGCACAAAGATAGCTGTTTAGATTCATCTTGTTACTGTCAACAAAACAGCCTCATGAAAAAATTTCACGGCCTCAAGACTAAAGGAAAACTTTCACAAAATAATCTAGATTATTTGCTCGACTGCTGGTCCATTGATGGCGGTGATGTAACTCTTTTGATTGAAACAGGTAAACGAGCTCTTAATCAGTCTGATTTTCTCATCGCACGTGTTTGTTTTGAAGAAGCTCACCGAATCAGTCCGACCAACTGGATTGCTTTTGACACTTTAATTGGTCTTTACTTCGTTTTCAATGATAACAGTAATTGTCTAAAATTTGCGATTAAAGGTTTGACTTCAGATTCTAATTACTTCAAAGCTCGTGTTTTAATATCAGAGATTTTGAAATCAACACCAACTTTAAAATCAGAAATACCTGTTGATCTTGATTATCTGATTCGGGGTAAATCCACAGATGATTTGACAAGAAAAACAAAAATTTTAGACGAACTCAAAAAGATGAAACAACTTCGTGATGGACAAAAGAAGACTGAAACTCAACAAGAAAGGGTTCGAAAATCTCTGCAATTAGACCTCAATTCAGAAACACTTTCGTCGTTACAATCCTTGATTTCAGCTCTAATAACTATTAGTAGTGACATAGAAAAACAGCATGTCAATTATAGAACAGTGATAACATTAAAAGTCTCTGGCAATCCTCGTTCCAATGCTTCTGTAAGTAGCGTGTCGATTTCTTCCAAAGAAAATCAAAATCATAAACGAAAGAGCCAAGGTCATGATCCATCAGCAAAACGAACATCAGTTGAAGATTCACAGCCAAAAGATCCAACAGCCGAAAATATGTACAAAAAGATATTCTCAATGTTCCCCGAAAATATTTTAGCTCGTGACATAGCCCAAGAAGAGGAGCTAGATGTACACACACAGAACGAAGCTCAAGTGGAACATTTAATTTTAACCCGTTACCGCTCGAAACAAATGCCATTTGATTCTAAAGGTAAACAAATATATCGGCTCATCACTGATCTTCTCTATGAAATAGCAAACGAAGCCACTGCGATCAAATTACCTTCTAATTTCATGGATCTGTATAGAATTTATCGAAAATGGAATAAGTTACCGACACCTTTAACGTGCTCTATTGAGAATATAAGTGTTAACAAGACAAAATTAATTTTAAAAGCTAATGAAGTTCAATTCAATCAATCTGAAGCAATATTTCTAACTGAATCAATTCCATATCTCCGAGATTTATTCGGCACCAACGATTATGATGAATTTTTCATTCGTCTCTTGACTCTTCGAGGAATCAAAGAGTCCAAAGTTGATTTTCTCCTCAAGGCGAATCAAGTTTTAGAAAAGTCTAACCTCAAATCAGTGCAAGCGGCAAATCAAACTGTCTATACCTCATTTTCACTTAGATCAATGATTAATAAGATGAATGGAAATAATTTGGACACATTATTGGATCAACATCGACATGAGGAAATTGTTGAACTATTAGCATCTAAATCTGAACTCTCTGAACAAGAAGAAGAGTGTCTCTATCAAGCCATTCAATCATCACAACAATGGAAACGAGGGATCGAAATAATTGCTAAAAGTAAACAATTAACTGATCGATTGTTAAAACTATTACTATTTTATCTCAAGAATGGTGATGGATCATCTATTGATCGAGAATTAGCGATCAAATTGCTAAAATTAGGGACCGAAGATTACAATGCACTGTCCTGGACTTGTATTCTACAAACATTTATAAACGAGATGCGACTTGGTAATCGGGGTGAGGAAAAAATTGCTAATTTGATTAGTTCAGTTCACGATTATCTAGGGAATAAAAAAGCTTGTTGTGATTCCAATGGAGAGTTTTTATCTCTTTCACTTGATTACTTGACCGATCAAGCAAATATCGAGAGAGAGAAATTAATCTTTAGCTGCCTTGGTTGTTATTACAAACACTTAGGATGTAGCTTTTTATCAGCTAATCATGAATCCGGAGTTTCTCTACTTTGGAAGGACATGCATACTATTTACAATTACTTCATTCCAAGAACTTTACCAACTTTTACAAGTGAAATAAGTAAATCAATTAGTTCAAATACTGAAGAGTTGTTATGCAATTTGCTTCCTTGGTCCCTGAAAATTTAAATCCTGAAAGATTTTCTAATTCTGTCAAAGAATATATCGATCATGGAAAATCAATTGAGCTTACAACAAGTATTCCAAAAGATCATGTTACTCAAGATCTTTATTATTATTTAGCTGATTATTACTTTAAAAACAAAGACTTTCAGTAAGTTAATTCATTTTAATAGCTTGCAAATATAAATGATTTCTAATTATATTATTTATCTAATTCATAGGAAAGCCATCAAATTTTATATTCTTGATCTAACTTTAAATCGAGTCGATTTGATTCATGGGTTGGCTGTGCTCTTGCAATAACAAGTCAGATTGATCAATATTCTTCGGCTGTAAGTTTTAAAACTACTTATTTTGTTAAAGTTCTAATCCCAAATTTCTATTCCCAAACAGAATGGTCGAGTTTTCTACTCATCTACTCATCAAGTGTTACTTCTGGGGAAAAAAGCATCTCGTTGTTTCATTAAAGCGGTTAAGCTGAAAAAAAGTGAATCCAAGTTATGGCTCGAATATGGAAAGCTCTCTTACAGTATAGCGAGTTATATTTCTCGAGTCATGAAATTTGGACCAGTTTTGGAGAATTCAAAAAAAGATGAAATGACCGAGCAACATCAAACTTTTCTTGATCAAGCTAAAGTTTGCTTCGACCATGGTAGCAAGTTACCTGCTTCCAATGAAATTAATTATTATTATTATTTTCTAGGAAAAATCGCTGAAAGAAGTAACATCTTACAAGCACTTGAATATTACGAATTATCTTTGTCTCATCCTATTTCAAGTGAAGCGACAGCTGAAATTGATAATGTTAATTCTACTATTCAAATTCATTGTTTTGGCAGCGAAATTCACTATCGGATTTACGCTTGTGTCCTTAAGCATATTTTTAAACATAGAAATCTATCAGCGCAAATATTATCACAAATGCTGGTGTTTTTAACTCGTGCTGCAAAAAATACTTTCTTTGGTTCTTTACCAGAAGATGTCGAAGAGGTGGTACGTGATTCGATTACATTGGAAAGTGAAGGACAATTATGGTATGAAAAAATTCAAGAATTGTGTCTGGCTCAAATGTATAGAAACATAGGCCGTTATCCTAACCGTGGCAAATCCCTCTATCGACTTGCGCATCATTATTTTCACACGAAAGAATATAATAATATTAAGTTCGCTCTAGAGATACTCAGCAATTCGTTTCAATCGACAACTCGTCCAGAAAGTTCTACTGCTTTCGGGACTGGGGAAAGTTCATCCATGCTCGTAAAGTTTTTTTCGATTGGAGATTGTTTCGTCCCAACTAAATGTAATTATTATATATTCCATGGAATCCAGAAGACATCGAATAATTTTATCGAAAGACCAGGAAGTTTTGTGCTCTCATCCGTCGATTGACGGATTTATTGATTGATGTGAAACGATCAATAGTTTTAAATGATCCTGAACCTTCATTGAACATCGCAATATTTTGGACTCATCAGTGTGCAGTAACAAAGAATATCTTCCTGAAACCGACCGAGAAAATCTTGGAAAAAGCATTGGAACATTGTTTTAGTATTTATGAGAGTAAAATTGTAGAGGCGACAGGGATCGAAACAATTTAGAAAATTGCAGCTGAATTAAGGGAATATGTAACGAATTGGTGAAATATCCTATCTATGAACAATCTACTAAACAATTCCTCGAAAACATAGAAATTTGCTGAATGTATTACAATTTATTAATCACTAACTTTAATGAAGAATATCTCTCTAACAAAGTTTTTAAATTCACGAAAACTTTTCCGATTCTGAACGAAACTAAAATTGTTTTAATTGGAATATTTATGTTTTTAACTACGAAAAATATTTTATGCAATTAAATGTATTCAAAAAGATCATCTAATTTGAATCATTTTGTTTTTCATTTCTAAAAGTTTTAAGATAAATTTGATTACTGTTATTATTTATTCTTGCTGAATCGATTATTACATGTCCTTCAAGTATCAAACATTAATATAAATTGGTAACTTTGATTAGCTCCATTCTTATGGTTCCATTATTTAGGTTATTAATTTATTCCCTAGAAATGGGAATATAGGGAAATATCTTTTACAATACTACAATTTGTATTATGTTTTTTTCGTTTCTATTAATTTTCGGTTTCTAAAAACTGAAAGCCTTTATGAATGAATGAATGAAAGAAAATCGGATTGTTTTAGAATTTACGAGAATTTAATTGTCGAAGCAAAATTTGATTTCATGGTGAGAATATCTCGTAACAAATTCTCTAACAATTTCGATATAAACTTGTTGATTTTATCTGAGAACTGACATATTTTCATTCTGAAAGATTAAGTCAACAAAGAAAAAGTAAAGGATCGACTTTCAATTCGAAAGATTCTCAAAGTGTTTCCATTATTTTCCTTTTGGATTCTTAAAATTGGTCAAAGTGTTTAACAAGTTAATTGTTTCCACCCATTGTTTACTTATTTCAAAGGGATGTGATTAATTAGCAAGATCTATGGATATGGATAAATTAGAGTATCAATTACATGTTTAACTTTTAATTCTACAACTTATGTAAGTAAAGAGTAGATTGTCTATTTGTTTGTTTTTTATTCCAAATGTTTAAATAATTAATTAACTTCGTTCTCCCGATCATTTGTAATTCATTTGTCTTTTTTTTCAATAGTTTTCTAGCCTCACAACTGACGATTAACTAAATTGTTTAATTTAACTTTTCTTTTTGATTTTCTCTTGGTGATTCTCAAGGAGTAGAATTAATTTTCTGATTAATTAATTGGGATGGAATCAATGAGAAAATTAAAGCGACAAGGATTAAACATATGATTGATTAACAAGAAGAAAAAAACAAATCAAAATCCATAACAATCTTTGTTGATTAGTAAAATTTACTCGAAATCCTTTATAATTAAAGTTCAATCAAGATTAATTATAAAATTCCATCAATTACTCCAGATAATTGGGGGGTATTTTAATCAACCAATATCTCGAAATGATCTTTAATTGTTTCGATTAAAATTGCAATGGAATAGAATTTAATTCAGATTGTTGATATCGAATCTTATTCGATACCAAGTTCGATAGTATCGAAGAATTTTTTTTAAAAAGAAATTTAATCAAATCGTTCTTGTTGTTGTTCAGTTTACTTTCTTTCAGCGCTTTGATTGTGACAGTTAATTAATTCTTTTAATTGATGAAATTAATTAATTGTAATTTTTATCGATTATTAGGTAAGTAAATAGTAGATTGTCTATTTGTTTGTTTTTTATTCCAAATGTTTAATATGTTTTCTCCTTTCTTTTTGAATTGTTGTTACTCTTTTTGTTTTTTCCTGTTAACCAAATGGTGGTGATGACACATGAAAGGCTTAATTGTCAACTAATTGACCAATTAAAATGAATGACGAAAGTTCAACCAAACGAGCTGATTAACAAGTGTATAAACAATTAATGCCTCAGCAATTACAAGTTAATTTAGTTTTAATGTTGTCCAATTATTGCTAAAGTTTCGAAGTGATTTTTGGGGTTACAATTTTGGTAATTAATCTTCAGTGATTTAAAGCATTTTATACATAGCTAAAAAGGGATAATCTCTTATAAACAGTGAGCTAATCCCTTTAGCTAATGGGAGTTAAAGAAATCGCCTCTGATAATTGTTCTTCAATCTATTCAGTGTTTTCCATTCTACTTCTTGGATCATCTTTACCTTAAATTATGCCTGACGTAAGTATTGACTATTCATTTGTTGCCATTTTTAGTAGTTTCCATCAATTGTTTACTTATAAGAATTAACATCATATTAACTTATTTATAAGCTAAAAGTTTCGAGTGTTTTTTTTATCCAGAAAAGAACTGATAAAAATGTTTAATTTTGTCAAGCTAACATATGCAAAAGATAATTAATCATTTTGACCATTTAAACAGTGGATCGAAATACTTGTTTGTAACAATTAAGCGAACGCGTAAAATAAATAGACCTTCGATTAGAAAGCCTTTGGTAGCTGCTTCGAGTTTTTCGTTTAATTGTAATCATCTCGTCTTTGAATTTGAATTTGACTGTTGATTATTTATTGATACGTTTTCCATAAATACAGTTGATTTCTGGGATCATCTTTCTGGCTCATATTCACCAACCGAGATAAAAGCTGAAATCGATTAATCCGTAAAAAATTGATTAGAGATTAATCTTCATGGCAGAAGTAAGTATTTTTGGCCTTTCCATTACTATCGTTTAACTAACCTTTACTCAATTCAACCACTTGAATGCTCTTTATCCGAAACAGGTAACAAGAATCCAATCAATCGCCAAGTTGGACTGTGGTCACGATCAAAGTGACGTTTTTTATATTCATAAATGTTTGAAGACTTTTTGTGATGAGTGCAGGCAAGAAAATCGTTTAAGTGTCTTATGGAACATTGAACTCGTCAAAACTGATTATCTCAAAGCCATTGAAAGGAAAAGATGAAGGTAGTTCCATTTGCAACAATCGAGCAATTTGCCATTGTTCGTGTGGAAATAAAGATTTTTGTGATATTCATTTCGTCAGATTTCATAGTATAGTTTATCAACCAAGAAGATGTTTGCCCACGATTATCGATTCGGACTCAAACGACGAATCATGTTCCAGGTGTGACTATTTCATCGCTAAATTTATGGACCAGACAACTAATGAGTTTTTCTGTGAATATTGCAAAAATGATGATAACTCATCCAATTTCGTGGAAATTGCACCAGACAACAACGATACAAACAACAGAAATATTACCGAAAATCTTAAAATTTATTGTGCTGATGTACAAAAGCGATTGGATCTGTTGAACACAAAACTAAATGAGTACACGATCGAAATAGAAAACGAAAAGGCCGAATTCAATAAAAGGATTGGTCGTATGCGAAGTGAATTAAAGTGTTACTTGAGCGCTAACAAGGTCAAAATTGATTCTTTGCGAGCGGAAGTGGACAAAGTTAAACAATTTTTGAATCAATTGAATCGAAGTGATAAATTTGGAATATTCGATCTCATCAAGTCGAATAAGCTTAACAATAAGCTTGCGGACACGAAATTAAAGTTATGGGTCGAAGAGATAGTGAAATCGTTCGTTATTCCTGAATTGACCAAATCGGGTGTAGATTGGGCTAAAGAATCTGAAAAAGCTTTTCGAGAGCTGGTTCCTGGTCCACGGAACTGGAATCTCAATCATGGTCCATTCTTTCCTGATAGTTTACTCGAATTAACCTACGACTTAATCAAAGATATGAATTCGCACAAAGATAGCTGTTTAGATTCATCTTGTTACTGTCAACAAAACAGCCTCATGAAAAAATTTCACGGCCTCAAGACTAAAGGTAAACTTTCACAAAATAATCTAGATTATTTGCTCGACTGCTGGGCCACTGATGGCGGTGATGTAACTCTATTGATTGAAACTGGTAAACGAGCTCTTAATCAGTCTGATTTTCTCATCGCACGTGTTTGTTTTGAAGAAGCTCATCGAATCAGTCCGACCAATTGGATTGTTCTTGACACTTTAATGGTTCTTTACTTCATTTTCAATGATAACAGTAATTGTCTTAAGCTCGCAATCAAAGGTTTGACTTCAGATTCTAATTACTTCAAAGCTCGTGTTTTAATATCAGAGATTTTGAAATCAACACCAACTTTAAAATCAGAAATACCTGTTGATCTTGATTATCTGATTCGGGGTAAATCCACAGATGATTTGACAAGAAAAACAAAAATTTTAGACGAACTCAACAAGACGAAACAACTTCGTGATGGACAAAAGAAGACTGAAACTCAACAGGAAAGGGTTCGAAAATCTTTGCAATTAGACCTCAATTCAGAAACACTTTCATCATTAAAATCCCTGATTTCAGCTATAATAACTGTTAGTAGTGACATAGAAAAACAGCATGTCAATTATAGAACAGTGATAACATTGAAAATTACTGACAATCCTCGTTTCAATGCTTCTGTAAGTAACAGGTCGATTTCTTCCAAGAAAAGCAGAACAATAAACGAAAGAGCCAAGGTGATGATCCATCAGCAAAACGAAGACCAGTTCAAGATTCACAGCCAAAAGATCCAACAGACGAAAATATGTACAAAAAGATATTCTCAATGTTGCCTGAAAGTATTTTAACCCCTGAAATATTAGTATATAATATAATAGTACAAGAAGATGATTTAGAAGTACAAACACAAAACGAAGCTCAAGTGGAACATTTAATTTTAACCCGTTACCGCTCGAAACAAATGCCATTTGATTCTAAAGGTAAACAAATATATCGGCTCATCACTGATCTTCTCTATGAAATAGCAAACGAAGCCACTGCGATCAAATTACCTTCTAATTTCATGAAGCTGTATAGAATTTATCGAAAATGGAATAAGTTACCGACACCTTTAACGTGCTCTGTTGAAGATATAAGTGTTAACAAAACAAAATTGATCTTGATTGCTAATGAAGTTCAGTTCGATAAATCCGAAGCAATATTTCTAACTGAATCGATTCCATATCTCCGAGATTTATTCGATACCAACGATTATGATAAATTTTTCATTCGTCTCATGATACTTCGAGGAGTCAAAGAATCCAAAGTTGATTATCTTCTAATGGCAAATGAAATGTTTACTAAATCTAAACTGAAATCAGTTCAAGCAGCAAATCAAACTGTTTACACTTCTTCTAGTCTTAGATCGATGATAAACAAGATGAATGAAAATAATTTGGACACGTTATTGGACCAACATCGACACGAGGAAATTTTTGAACTACTAGCATCTAAATCTGTGCATTCTACACGAGAAGAAGTGTACTTTTGTCAAGCCATTCAGTCATCAAAACAATGGAAACATGGAATCGAAATTATTGCTAAAAGTGAACCATTAACTGTTCGATTGTTAAAACTATTACTATATAATCTAAAGAAGATTGATAGAACATCTATTGATCGAGAATTAGCGATCAAATTGCTAGAATTGGGGACCGAAGATCACAATGCACTGGCCTGGACTTGTATTCTACAAGCATTCATAAACGAGATGCAACTTGGTAACATGAACGAAAGAAAAGTTGTCGATTTGATTACTTCAGTTAACGATTATCTAGAGAATAAAAAAGATTATTGTTATTCCAATGTAGAGTTTTCTCTTCTTTCAATTGATTACTTGAACAATCACGCAAATATCGAGAGAGTGAAATTAATGTTTAGCTGTCATCAATTTCTTCAAAGAATAAAACGATCCTTAAAAGTCAATTGAGACTAAACCAAGTATTCCAAAAAATCACGTTACTCAAGATCCTTATTATTTATTCTTGTTGAATCAACTATTACATGTCCTTGTATGTAATGCTTCTAATTGCTTTGATTACTGTTCTTTTCATCAAAGATCAACTCAATCGAGATAAATCAAATTCAGAAATAACATAATTAACAGAACAATTGTACAATGTATTTGAATGAATAATTGTAAACTATAAATAAACATAAAATTTATAAGATTTTGTTTCAGTGTGATTTCTTCAATTACTTACTCTTACAATTTCGATATAAACTTGTTGATTTTGTCTGCGAATCAGAAGTTTTATAACCCACATGCATCGATCGGCTCAGTTATTGATAAATGCAGTTATTTCAGTAGCGATAACAATTCTTAAAGCCAATTACATGTAAATGGACGAATTCGTAACAAATGGAACATCCTGTCTAAGAAAAATACGCTTAACAATTTCTCCAAAAACATGGCAATTGTGTCGAATGTGTAACAATTAATTAATCACTATTTTCACGATATGAATCTCTCGTAATCAAGTTTCTTTTTCAGTTCTCATGATTTTCAACGACACTAAAATTGTTTCAATTTCCATGATTCGTTTGTGCACAAACAAAGAAATCATGATTGCAAGATTGTTGTGTATTCTTTTGAATTTCCCGCTCTTTTGAAAAATGGACAGGTTTGGCTAATTGTAATTAATTACTAGTTATCAATAGTTAATAAATTAACATTATATTAACTTGTTTATAAGCTAAAAGTTTCGAGTGTTTTTTTTATCCAGAAAAGAACTGATAGAAATGTTTAATTTAGTTAATTGAATCAATCAACTAATTAACCCAAATCTGGGCTCTCTAAACAAGAAGAAGTGTACCTTTGTCAAGCCATTCAATCATCAAAACAATGGAAACGTGGAATCGAAATTATTGCTAAAAGCAAACAATTAACTGGTCGATTTCTAAAACTGTTACGAGCTTGTTTAAAGAATGGAGATAAATTATCAATTGATCGAGAATTGGCCATTTATTTACTCAAATTAGGGACTGAAGATTACAATGCAATGGCCTGGACTTGTATTCTACAAACATTCATAAATGAAATGCGAGTTGGTAAAACTGACGAAGGAAAAATCACCGGTTTGATTGGTTCAGTTCACGATTATTTAGGTCATGGAGGTGCTTGTGGTGATTACAATGGAGAGTTTTTATCTCTTTCATTAGATTATTTGATTAATCAATGTAAAAAAAAGAAAGAGAGACTAATCAACAGCTGTCTTGGTTGTTTCTACAATCAATTAAAATGTAGCTTCCTTATCTCTCATCATGAAGCGAGAGTTACTCTACGTTGGAAGGACATTCGTACTATTTACAATTACTTCATTCCTAAAATTTTATCGAAATGTAATAGTGAAATAAGTGAATCGATTAGTTCAAATGTTGAGGAGTTGTTACGCAATTTACTTCCCTTGGTCCCTGAAAATTTAAATCCTGAAAGATTTTCCAATTCTGTCAGAGAATATATCGATCATGGAAAATCAATTGAGCTTACAACAATTATTCCAAAAAATCATGTCACTCAAGATCTTTACTATTATTTAGCTGATTATTACTTAAAAAACGAAGAGTTTCAGTAAGTTAATTCATTTTAATCGCTTGCCAATTTAAAATAATTTCTAATAATATTATCTGTCTAATTCATAGAAAAGCCATCAAATTTTATATTCTTGATCTAACTTTAAATCGGAACCGATTCGATTCATGGGCTGGTTGTGCTCTCTCAATGACAGATCTAATCAACCAATATTCTGCGCAAGTGAGTATTTAATCTTGTGTCTTATTTTTTAAAATTCTGATCTTTACTTAATCTCTAATTTCTTTTGAAACAGAACTGTCAAGTTTTCTACTCAGCTATTGATAAAGTGTTGCTTTTGGGAGAGAAAGCAACACTTCATGCAATTCTTAGATCAAGCTCGAGTTTGCTTCGAATCAGCTAAAAAATTTGCTAATTCTGACGAAATTTGGATGAATTATTATTTCTTAGGAAAAATCGCTGAAAGAAGTAACATCTTACAAACACTTCGATATTATGAATTATCTAAGATTCATATGCTCTCAAGTCCAGCAAGACTAAGTAACAGTAATAATGTAAATGATGTGTGTTTTCGCGCCGAATTTCATTATCGTATTCACGCTTGTGTCCTCAAGTATATTTATAGGCACAAAACTCCGCCAGCAAAAATATTATCACAGATCATGTTGTTTCTAATTCGTGCTGAAAAAAGCTATTACGTTGCCAAGTTTAATCCAAGAGATGAAACAGATGATGAAATTATGGAAGATTCCAACGAAACGTTGACTGATTTGGTTGCTCTGGTCCATGATGGAATCCTCGAAAGTGACAGTGAGCAGCTATTCACCAGAATAGTACAAATGTGCCTTGAAGAGTTTCTTTACATTTTGAAAGATTATCATCAGCATTACAAATCACTCTATCGAATTGCTTATCATTATTTTCTGACTAAAGACAATCGATTCTCACAAAAAGTACTTACAAATAAATTTCAATTTCCACCTAATTCACAAGGCTCTTCATCAAATGGGGAATGTTCAGCCAGTTCAGAACACACGTTTTATGGTCTTTTCGACTTGACTAAATCTTGGCGTCTATTCCCTATTCTGACATCAGATGACATATTACAGAGACCAGGAAGTTTTATCACTCATATGCTTCGATCGACTCAGTTATTGATTAATGTAAACAAGAATTTGGGTTATTCTGAAAAATTGTTCGATATCACAACGCTTTTGTGCGCATCAACGTATCAAGGATATCTTCGTGAAACCGATCGTATCAATCTTGGAAAACAAGCAATGGAACAGGGTTTTAACATTTACGAAAGTCGAATTGCAAAAGCAAAAGGAAATCGTAAGAATTTAGATCAAATTAAAGAGGATGTAAGGAAAATATGTAAAAAATTGATTGAAAATCCTATACTTAAACAACAGGCTCAACAATTTCTCGAAAAACATGTCGAATGTGTGACAATTGATTAATATTAATACAATATTGTATTAATCATTGATTTCGATGATCTGGATTGTACCTTAAAAGAGCAAATGAATGCCCAAATAGCAAAGTAAAGTTTAGCAAAAATAATAATCTCGATGCGATTACATGATTTATCTCAATTAAGAACTGATCTCAGATTTGCGTTTAAGTTTATGGGTAATTCGGTCTATTAGTAATTTCACTCATTACCTTGAGACTAGATACACATCCTGACTTAATTTTTTTCCTTTCGTCCATTATATTAATAATCAAATCAATCAAGTTTTGCTTCTGCTAAAGCAGCAGCTGAGAGTACGGAATTCATCGAATCATGGAAAGTGATTCTTACCAATCGAGTCTCTAATTTTATATTAATCACTTTTACTTTTCTTCAAACACTGGCCAATTTTGTCCTTGGACTATTAAGTCCAATGATTAGTAAATATTTTCCAAATCAAAACATCCTGATCGGTATAATCGGTGCGATTGCTTCTCTTTCAAGTGTATTCGGCTCACTAATATTGGCCTGGGTAACCGATAAAACGAGAAAGTATAAATTGGTAACTTTGATTAGCTCCATTCTTATGGTTCCATTATTTGGGTTATTAATTTATTCCCTAGAAATGGGAAGCAAATTGTTTGTAACAATCGTGGTCACTTTATTAGGGTTCTTGTTGGCAGGAACTTACCCAATAGGAATGGACTTCATTGTCCAGGCCAATTATCCAATGTCCGAATCAGTTTGTGTCACTCTAATGATGTTTTCTAATCAATTGATCAGTTGGCCAGCGACAGTTTTAGTTTCGCATCTTTTACAATGCTACAATTTTATTATGCTTATAATACTTATTCTTAAAGATTAAGTCAACATAGAAAAAGTAAAGGATCGACTTTCAATTCGAAAGATTCTCAAAGTGTTTCCATTATTTTCCTTTTGGATTCTTAAAATTGGTCAAAGTGTTTAACAAGTTAATTGTTTCATCCCATTGTTTACTTATAAGAATTAGTCAAGAAAAATTGTGCATCATTTACTTATCAACTTAAACATTTGATCATTTTATCTTATCAACAGATCAATTCAATCAATCGCCACGATGGTCACGATCAATGTGACGTTTTTTATTAACAAATGCTTGAAGACATTTTGTGAAAAGTGTAAACAAGAAAGTTGTTTGTGAGTCTTGTGGAAAACTAAACTCTTCGAAAAAGGCCCAATGTCGAGTATTTGTGCTTTTAAAGTGAACTTTGGCTTCCTCATGTTTTAAGTCAGAGATCCAAGCCAATGTATAAGATATCGCTCAACATTATCGAGAGACCAGAAAGTTTTATTATCTACATGCATCGATTGACTCAGTTATTGATCAATGCAGTTATTTCAGTAACAATTTAATTTGTAAAAGCCAATTAAATGGACGAATTTGTAACAAATTAATGGAACATCCTGTCTATGAAGAATACGCTTAACAATTTCTCGAAAAACATGGCAATTGTGTCGAATGTGTAACAATTAATTAATCACTATTTTCACGATATGAGTCTCTCATAATCAAGTTTCTTTTTCAGTTCTCATGATTTTCAACGACACTAAAATTGTTTCAATTTAAATGCTTTGTTTGTAATTGAAAGATTGTTGTGTACTCTTTTGAATTTCCCGCTTTTTTGAAAAGGAACAGGTTTAGTTGATTGTAATTAATTACTAGTTAACAATAGTTAATAAATTAACATTATATAAAGTTGTTTATAAGATAAAATTTTCGAGTGTTTTTATCGTGAAAACAAATGATAAAAATGTTTAATTTTGTCAAACTAACATTTGCAAAAGATAATTTATCGTTTTAACCATTTAAACGAGTGGATCGAAATACTTGTTTGTAGCAATTAAGTGGACTTGATAAATAAATAGACCTTCGATTAGAAAGCTTTTGGTAGCTGTTTCGAGTTTTTTCGTTTTAATTGTGATCATCTCGTCTTTGAATTTAAATGTGAGTGTTGATTATTATTTATTGATACGTTTTCCATAAATACAGTTGATTACTTGGATCATCTTTCTGGCTCATATTCACCCACCGAGATTAAAAGCTGAAATCGATTAGTCTTAAGATCAATTGATTAGGAGATTAATCTTCATGGCAGAAGTAAGTATTTTCTTGGTCATTCCATTGTTATCCATTGACCGACCTTTCACTCAATTCAACAATTTGAATCTCTTTATCACCTCTAGGTAGCAAGTAATCAATCAATCGCCAAGTTGGACTGTGGTCACGATCAAAGTGACGTTTTTTATATTCACAAATGTTCGAAGACTTTTTGTGATGAGTGCATGCAAGAAAATCGTTTAAGTGTCTTGTGGAACATTGAACTCGTCGAAACTGATTATCTCAAAGTCATTGACAAGAAAAGATGCGAAGATACTTCCATTTGCAACAGAGAAGCAATTTACCGTTGTTCGTGTGGGAACAAAGACTTTTGTGAGATTCATTTAATCAAGTATCATGATTTAGTTGTACACCAAAAAATATGTTTGGCTACAATGCTCGATTCGGACTCAAATGCCGAACCATGTTCCAAGTGTGAGTATTTTAAGGCTAAATTTATGAACCAGACAACAAATGAGTTTTTCTGTGCTCCATGCAAAAATGATGATAACTCCTCTAATTTCGTGGAAATTGAACAAGACAACAACAGAGATATTACCGAAAATCTTAAAATTTATTGTGTTGATGTGAAAAAACGATTGGATCTATTGAACGAGAAACTAAATGAATATACGATTGAGATAGAAAACGAAAAGGCCGAATTCAATAAAGGGATCGGTCACATGAGAAGTAAATTAAAATGTTACTTGAGTGCTAACACGGTCAAAATAGATTCTTTGCGAGCGGAAGTGGACAAAGTTAAAAAATTTTCGAATCTATTAAATCGAAATGATAAATTTGGAATAATCAATCTCATAAAGTCGAAAAAGCTCAACTATAAACTTGCGGACTCGAAATTGAAGTTATGGGTTGAAGAGATAGCTCAATCGTATGTTATTCCTGAACTAACCAAATCGGGTGTAAATTGGGCTAAAGAATCTGAAAGAGCTTTTCATGAGTTGGTTCCTGGTCCACGGAACTGGAATCTTAATCATGGTCCTTTTTTTCCTGATAATTTACTTGAATTAACCTACGACTTAATCAAAGATATAGATTCTCACAGAAATAGCTGTATAGATGCATCTTGTTATTGTGAACAAAACAGTCTCAAGAAAAAATTTCATGGCCTCAAGACTAAAGGTAAACTCTCGCAAAATAATCTGGATTATCTTCTCGACTGTTGGTACATTGATGGTGGTTATGTTACTTTATTGACTGAAACTGGTAAACGAGTTCTTAATCAGTCTGATTTTCTCATCGCACGAGTTTGTTTTGAAGAAGCTCATCGAATCAGTCCGACCAATTGGATTGTTCTTGACACCTTAATGGGTCTTTATTTCGTGCTCGATGATTACCGTAATTGTCTTAAGCTCGCAATCGAAGGTTTGACTGCAGACCGTAATTACTTCAAGGCTCGTGTTTTAATATCAGAGATTTTGAAAATAAAACCAACTTTAAAACCAGAAATACCTGTTGGTCTGGATTATCTACTCGATTGTAGTTCCGCAAGTGTTATGACAAGAAAATCAAAAATTTTGTACGAACTCAAGAAGACGAAACATCTTTGTGATGGACAAAAGAAAACTGAATCGCAGCAAGAAAATGTTCGAAAATCTTTGCAATTAGACCTCAATACAGAAACACTTTCGTCGTTACAATCTCTAATTTCAGCTCTAATAATGGTTAGTAGTGAAATAGAAAAACAGCAATTGAATTATAGAACAGTAATAACATTGAAAATCACCGACAATCCTCTTTCTAATCCTCTTGTGAGTAACGGATCGATTTCTTCCAAAGAAAACCAAAATCATAAACGAAAGAGCCAAGGTCATGATCCATCAGCAAAACGAAGACCAGTTCAAGATTCACAGTCCATAGATCTAACAGCCGAAAATATGTACAAAACGATATTCTCAATGTTTCCCGAAAATATTTTAGCTCGTGAAATAGTGCAAGAAGACGAGCTAGAGGCACAAACACAGAACGAAGCTCAAGTGGAACATTTAATTTTAACTCGTTACCGCTCGAAGCAAATACCATTTGACTCAAAAGGAAAACAAATCTATCGACTCATCACTGATCTTCTCTATGAAATAGCAAACGAAACCACTGCGATCAAATTACCTTCTAATTTCATGGATCTGTACAGAATTTATCGAAAATGGAATAAGTTACCGACACCTTTAACATGCTCTATTGAGAATATAAGTGTTAACAAAACAAAATTGATTTTAAAAGCTAATGAAGTTCAATTCAATCAATCCGAAGCAATATTTCTAACTGAATCAATACCATATCTACGAGATTTATTCGATACCAACGATTATGATAATTTTTTCGTCCGTCTTCTGATTCTACGAGGAATCAAAGAGTCCAAAGTTGATTATCTTCTAAAGGCTAATCAAGTTTTCGAAAAGTCTAACCTCAAATCAGTTCAAGCAGCAAATCAAACCGTTTACACCTCATTTTCCGTTAGATCAATTATTAACAAAATGAATGAGAATAATTTGGACACTTTATTGGACCAACATAAACTCGAGGAAACTGTTGAGCTATTGGCATCTAAATCTGAATTTTCTGAACAAGAAGAAGAGTATCTTTGTCAAGCTATTCAATCATCAAAACGATGGAAACGAGGGATCGAAATGATCGCTCGAACTGAACAATTAACTGATCGACTGCTAAAGCTACTACTATCCTGTCTAAAGAATAGTGATGGAACATCTATTGATCGTGAATTAGCGATCAAGTTGTTAAAGTTGGGAACAAGAAACTACAATGTAATGGCCTGGATTTGTATTCTACAAACATTTATAATCGAGATGCGACTTGGTAACACGGACGGAAAAAAAATTGCCGATTTGATTAACTTGGTTCATGATTATCTTGGGAATAAAGAATCTTGTTGTGATTCCAATGGAGAGTTTTTATCTCTGGCACTTGATTATCTAATTTGTCAATATAGCAGAAACAAAGAGAAACTAATTCTTAGCTGCCTTGGTTGTTTTTACAAACAATTAAAATGTAGCTTCCTGTCAGCTCATCAAGGAGCGGGGGTTAGTCTACATTGGAAGGACATTCGTACTATTTACAATCACTTCATTCCTAAAACTTTACCAACTTTTGATAGTGAAACAAGTAAATCGATTAGTGCAAATGTTGAGGAGTTGTTACGCAATTTGCTTCCCTTGGTCCCTGAAAATTTAAATCCTGAAAGATTTTCCAATTCTTTCAAAGAATTTATCGATCATGGAAAATCAATTGAGCCTCCATCAATTATTCCAAAAAATCATGTTACTCAAGATCTTTACTATTATTTAGCTGATTATTACTTGAAAAACAAAGAGTTTAAGTAAGTTAATTCATTTAATAGCTAGCAAATTTAAACGTTTCTAATAATATTCATCTAATTCATAGAAAAGCCGTCCAATTTTATATTCTTGATCTAATTTTGAATCGGAACCGATTTGATTCATGGGCTGGTTGTGCTCTCGCAATAACAAGTCAAATTGATCAATATTCTTCGACTGTAAGTATTAAAACCACTCATTTTGTTAAAGCTGTAATCTCATATTTCAATTCACTAACAGAATGGTCGAGTTTTCTACTCATCTACTCACCAAGTGTTACTTCTGGGGAAAAAAGCATTTCGTTGTTTCAATGAAGCGACTCGGCTGAAAGAGAGCGAATCGAAGGTATCGTTCGAATATGGAAAATTCGCTTACAATATAGCGAGTTATATTTCTCGAGTCATAAAATTTGGACCAGTCTTGGAGAATTCGCAAAAAGAAAAAATGAAAGAAAAACGAAAGCGATTTCTAGAGAAAGCTAAAGTTTGCTTCGAACGTGGCACTAACAACAACTTACCCGCTTCCGATGAAATCTATTTTACTTATTATTTTCTAGGAAAAATCGCTGAAAGAAGTAACATCTTACAGGCACTTCGCTATTACAAATTATCGATGTCTCATCCTTTCTCAAGTGAAGCGACTGCTGGAATTGATAATGTCAATTCAATCATTTTAATTCATCGTTTTGGGATCGAAATTAACTATCGGATTCACGCTTGTGTCCTTAAGCATATCCTCGAACATGAAAATCTATCAACGCAAATATTATCACAAATTCTGGTGTTTTTAACTGGTGCTGAAGAAAGTACTTTCTTTGGTTCTTTACCAGAAAGTGAAGAAACCGCTGAAGATGCCGAGAATGTGGTGCTGGAAAGTGAAGCACAACTATTGTATGAAAAGATTCGAAAAATGTGTGTGGGTCAAATGTCTAGAATCTTACGACGTTATCCTAACCATTGCAAATCCCTTTATCGAATTGCGCATCATTTTCTTAAAGATCCTCTATTCGCTCTAGAGATACTCACCAAATCATTTCAATCGACAACTCGTCCAGAAAGTTCCACTGCTTCTGGAACTGAGGGAAATGCATCAGCAAATTTTTCATCGATTAGAGATTTTTTCGATCCAACTAAATGTGATTATTTTATATTCCGTGGAATCCAGAAGACATCGAACAATTTTATCGATAGACCAGGAAGTTTCTGTACTCACATTCGTCGATTGACAAATTTATTGATTGATGTGATAAAGTTACGTGATTCGATAACTTCAGGTGGTACTAAACAATTATTGAACATCGCAATATTTTTGGACTCATCAGTGTGCAGTAACAAAGAATATCTTCCTGAAACCGATCGGGAAAATCTTGGGAAAAAAGCATTGGAACATTGTTTTAGTATTTATGAGAGTAAAATTGTAGAGGCGACAGGGAATCGAAACAATTTAGAGAGAATTGCAGCTGAATTAAGGGGAATATGTAACGAATTAATGAAATATCCTATCTATGAACAATCTACTAAACAATTCCTCGAAAAACATAGAAATTTGCTGAATGTATTACAATTTATTAATCACTAACTTTAATGACGAATATCTCTCCTAACAAAGTTTCTTAAATTCACGAAAATCTTTTCCGATTCTGAACGAAAATAAAATGTTACAATTTAAACGATACTACTAATCCTTTTTTCATTAATACTCGTTTATAACAATTAAGTGAACAGATCAACCTTCAATTAGAGGGCTGATTCAAGTTTATTCGTTTTTAATTGTAATTAATCTTTTGAATGTTAATTTTGGGCATTTATTGTGACACTTTCTCTAAATACAGTTGATTCCTTGTATCTTCATGGAAACTTTACTTTTTTGATCTTACTATTGTTATCCCTTGACACTCAATTCAAGCATTTGAGCCTCTTTATTTACGAGGAATAAGTAATCAATCAACCAACAAGCTGGACTTTGGTCACAATCAACGTAACGTATTTAATGGTCGTAAATTTTTGAGGACTTTGTGAAAAGTGTAAACAAGAAAATCACTCGTGTGTAAAAAAGTTTGTTTTGCATTTCAATGTTGGTATTAATAATAATAATTGATCTTTGGCCCTTTCATTATTTTTTGGCACATTTTAATTATTAATTAACAACAACAACAACAATACGAACAATAAACTTGCGGGCTCGAAATTGAAGTTGTGGGTTAAGGAAATCATTGAATCGTTCGTTATTCCTGAATCGACCAAATCGGGTATAAATTGGATTAACGAATCTGAAAGAGCTTTTCGTGAGTTGATTTCGGGGCCACGGAATTGGAAGTAACTGAAAGAAATAATTTGAATCAATTTGTTTTTCGTTTGCTAAAAATTTTAATATTCTTGTTTAATCAATTACATGTTCTTCAAGTATTAACAAACATTAAACGTAAAAGAAGTAAAAAAATTAGAATTTAAATTTTAATTGATCATAAAGTTTGTCTCTAAAATGATCGATCAACCTCACAATTAAAGATTATTTGATGTTGACGTTCATCTGATATCGCCATGATTGGAATTAACTGTTACACTTGAAGTACAATTTAGAGCAAAAGCAATAAGAATATACAATTCTAATTCATGTATCCCAATTCGTTAGCAGGTTAATTATAAATTGAATTTAGTCTGAACTTCAAGTAGACTGATATTTTATTAAGAATTTGTTCCGATGAAAATGATTACTGGTTCTTTTTTAATTTTTGGATTAATTCAAATGGAAAACGCTCTGATAATTGATTGTGGCGATTTGATTTGATTAATGGTTATCACAGAAAAGAAAGGATCACTTTTTCCAGTAAAATCGATGATGATTTCATTTCGTTTTGGATTAAATTTACGTTGAATTATATTAACCATATCTAACATCCTTTTCGATGCTTTGTTTTGAGTTTTTCAGGGCTTTTAATATTGCAATAAATCACTTCACGAATTCCTGATTGGATAATTAATTTGGCACATTCGTTGCATGGAAAAGAGTAGTGTAGAGACTACAGTTCTTGACATCGGCTGAATTACGATTGGCGATCGCATTCATCTCAGCGTGACAAACGTAAAGATGCTTATTGTCTAAAGGTGTGTCTCCATTTTTGGTCCAAGGCATGAGATCGTCATTACATCCGGTCGGCATTCCATTGTAACCGATTCCAACTATTTTCTTTTCTGTGTTCACAATACAAGTTCCAACCTGAGTGACGGGATCTTTACTCCTCAATGAGGCCAAATGAGCGGTGGCCATAAAATACTCATCCCAGTCTAGATAATCAGCTCGTTTGGTTGAACTTTCGTCATTCATTTTAATTGGTCAATTAGTTCACAATTAAGCCTTTCATGTGTCATCATCACCACCATTTGGTTAACAGGAAAAAACAAAAAGAGTAACAACAATTCAAAAAGAAAGGAGAAAACATATTAAACATTTGGAATAAAAAACAAACAAATAGACAATCTACTCTTTACTTACCTAATAATCGATAAAAATTACAATTAATTAATTTCATCAATTAAAAGAATTAATTAACTGTCACAATCAAAGCGCTGAAAGAAAGTAAACTGAACAACAACAAGAACGATTTGATTAAATTTCTTTTTAAAAAAATTCTTCGATACTATCGAACTTGGTATCGAATAAGATTCGATATAAACAATCTGAATTAAATTCTATTCCATTGCAATTTTAATCGAAACAATTAAAGATCATTTCGAGATATTGGTTAATTAAAATACCCCCAATTATTTGGAGTAAATGATGGAATTTCATAATTAATCTTGATTGAACTTTAATTATAAACGATTTTGAGTAAATTTTACTAATCAACAAAGATTGTTATGGATTTTGATTTGTTTTTTTTTCTTCTTGTTAATTAATCATATGTTTAATCCTTGTCGCTTTTAATTTTCTCATTGATTCCATCCCAAGCAATTAATCAGAAAATTAATTCTACTCCTTGAGAATCACCAAGAGAAAATCAAAAAGAAAAGTTAAATTAAACAATTTAGTTAATCGTCAGTTGTGAGGCTAGAAAACTATTGAAAAAAAAGACAAATGAATTAAAAATGATCGGGAGAACGAAGTTAATTAATTATTTAAACTAATTAATAATAAATGTATTTAGTGAAAGTTAATTGTGATCTAATGCCAATTATAAATATATCAGGTTTTTCTTTGGTTTCAATTTGAAACTCAAAGAGAAACAATTAACAAATTAACATGGAAATTGAATCTTTCATTAGATTTAACAATGTCTTTCTTAATCAACCTAATTAACTAAATTTCTTTTTTTTCAATTGATTATTTAAACAATTAACTGTTGTCTACAAGAACGATTTGATAATCAAATTTTGATTGAATTTCTTTCGAAAAAAACTTGTCCAATACTATCGAACTTGGTATCGAATAAGATTCTATATCGATATCTGAATTTGAACTGAAGTCACAATTAAACTTAATTTTTTTGTACAGTCGATTTTAATTTTAACCGAAACAATTAGAGAAATGAATCATCACATGAATTTAATTAACATTAACAAGAATTTTGAACTGAATAATTGTTCACAAATTGCATTACTTTTGAGTTGATCAAATTAAGTAGAAAGGATAATCATTGGGATACATCGGGCAAAAAGCATTGGAACATTTTTAGAATTTACGAGTTTAATTGTCGGAGCAAAATTTGATTTCATGGTGAGAATATCTCGTAACAAATTCTCTAACAATTTTGATATACTTGTTGATTTTGTCTGCGAACTGGAATATTTTTGTTCTTAAAGATTAAGTCAACAAAGAAAAAGTAAAGGATCGACTTTCAATTCGAAAGATTCTCAAAGTGTTTCCATTATTTTCCTTTTGGATTCTTAAAATTGGTCAAAGTGTTTAACAAGTTAATTGTTTCCACCCATTGTTTACTTATTTCAAAGGGATGTGATTAATTAGCAAGATCTATGGATATGGATAAATTAGAGTATCAATTGCATGTTTAATTTTTAATTCTACAACTTTAACAAGTGTATAAACAATTAATGCCTCAGCAATTACAAGTTAATTCAGTTTTAGTGTTGTCCAATTATTGCTAAAGTTTCGAAGTGATTTTTGGGGTTACAATTTTGGTAATTAATCTTCAGTGATTTAAAGCATTTTATACATAACTAAAAAGGGATAATCTCTTATAAAAAGTGAGCTAATCCCTTTAGCTAATGGGAGTTAAAGAAATCGCCTCTGATAATTGTTCTTCAATCTATTCAGTGTTTTCCATTCTACTTCTTGGATCATCTTTACCTTAAATTATGCCTGACGTAAGTATTGACTCTTCATTTGTTGCCATTTTTAGTATCCTTTGGTCAATTGATGAATTCTTAACTCAATTAATGTTCAAAATTCAACTTTGTCAACTGTTGTCGTGATTAAACGATTGACCGGAAGATATTTTATTTACTTATCAATTTATTATAATCTTTATCCACACCAGGTTACAAGTAATCAATCAATCGCAAAGTTGGACTGTGGTCACGATCAAAGTGACGTTTTTTATGTTCACAAATGTTTAAAGACATTTTGCCATCATTGTAAACAAGAAAATCGCTCGTGTGTCTTGTGTAAATCTGAACTCGTCGAAACTGATTATCTCAAAGCCGTTGACAGGAAGAGATGTGATGATCCGTTTGCAACCGTCAAGCCATTTACCGTTGTTCGTGCGGAGATAATGATTTTGTGAAATTCATTTACTTAGTTTTCATCGAACAATTTTACCATCAAAAAGATGTTGTGCTGTGATTCTCAATTCGGACACTGATGAACAACCATGTTCCAAATGTAGGAAATGTATCGCTCGATTTGTAGACAAGACAACTAATGAGTTATTCTGTGGTGCGTGCAAAAAGAACAAAAAATCCAAAAATATCGTGCCAATTGATAAAAACAACAACGACGATCCCAATGCCAACAGAAATATTGCTCACAATCTTCAAATTTATTGTGCTGATGTACAAAAGCGATTGGATCTATTGAACAGAAAACTAAAAGAGTATACGATCGAGATAGAAAACGAAAAGGCCGAATTTAATAAAGGGCTCGGTCACATGAGAAGTAAATTAGAAAGTTACTTAAGTGCTAACACTGTCAAAATTGATTCTTTACGAGCGGAAGTGGACAAAGTTAAACAATTTTTTAATTTATTGAGTCGCAGTGATAAATTTGGAATAATGAATCTCATCAAGTCGGATAAGCTCAACTATAAACTCGCGGACTCGAAATTGAAGTTGTGGGTTAAGGAAATCGTTCAATCGTATGTTATTCCTGAATTAACCAAATCGGGTGTAAATTGGGCTAAAGAATCTGAAGAGGCTTTTCGTGAATTGGTATCTGGTCCAAGGAACTGGGAGCTTAATCATGGTCCATTCTTTCCTGATAATTTAATTGAATTAACCTACGGCTTAATCAAAGAACAGCTTTTGCATAGAAATATCTGTAAACTTGAGTCTTGTTACTGTAAAGCGCACAGTCTCATCAACAATATTAAAAAGAAATTGGTCAATCTTCAAAACGAGCAAAAACTTTCCAAAAAATATCTGAATTATTTTCTCGACGCCTCTTCCCTTGGTAGTGATGTTACTTTATGGCTTGAAACTGGTAAACGAGCTCTTGATCAGTTTTCTTCTTTATCAATTGCCCGAACATGTTTTGAAGAAGCTCATAGAATTAGTCCAACCAATTGGATTGTTCTGGACACCTTAATGGGCATTTATTTCGTGCTAGATGATTATAGTAATTGCCTCAAGCTCGCAATAAAAGGCAACAAAGACTCCGATTACTTTAAAGCTCGTGTTTTAATATCAGAGATCTTAGATCGTTCACCATCTATAGAATCCGAATTACCTGCCAATCTGAAATATCTAGAGAGTTGGACTCCTGAGAAAGATTTGGAAAGAAAGAGGAAAATTTTGGACAAACTCGAGAGTTTAAAACAACTCTCTGGACGAAGAAAGGAAAGTGACGAAAAACAAGCAAATGTTTCAAAATCTTTGGAGTTAAACCTCAATTCAGAAACACTTTCGTCGTTAAAATCCCTTATTTCAGCTTTAATGAACGTCCATAGTGAAATGGTGAAACAAACACTCAATTTAAATTCGTTAATAACGTTGAAAATCACTGGCAATCCTCGTTCCAATGCGCCTATGAGTAACTTGCCATTCTCTTCTAAAGAAAAGCATAACAATAAACGAAAGAGCCAAGGATTGAGTCCTAATCAAACAAAAAGAAGGTCGACACGAAATGCACCGCCAACAGACGCAACAATAGACAATCTGTACGAAAAGATATTCTCAATGTTCCCTGAAAGTATTTTAACTCCTAGAGAAGTTCAAGAAAACGAGTTACAGGTACAAACACAAAACGAAGCTCAAGTGGAACATTTAATTTTAACCCGTTTCCTCGAAACAAATACCAGAAGTGTCAGAAGGAACAAAATCTATCATCTCATCACTGATCTTTTCTGTGAAATAGCAAACGGCTCTACTGCAATCAAATTACCTTCTAATTTCATGGAGCTTTACAGAATTTATCGAACATGGTATCCGTTACCGACACCTTTAACGTGCTCTGTTGAAGATATTGATGTTGAATTGATCTTGATTGCTAATGAAGTTCAGTTCGATAAATCCGAAGCAATATTTCTAACTGAATCGATTCCATATTTCCGAGATTTATTCGATACCAACGATTATGATAAATTTTTCATTCGTCTTTTGACTCTACGAGGAATCAAAGAATCCAAAGTTGATTATCTTCTAATGGCAAATGAAATGTTTACAAATCTAAACTGAAATCAGTTCAAGCAGCAAATCAAACTGTTTACACCTCATTTTCTGTTAGATCAATGATAAACAAGATGAACGAAAATAATTTGGACACATTATTAGATCAACATCGACACGAGGAAATTGTTGAACTATTGGCATCTAAATCTGAACTCTCTGAACAAGAAGAAGAGTATCTCTATCAAGCCATCCAATCATCACAACAATGGAAACGAGGGATCGAAATTATTGCTAAAAGTAAACAATTAACTGATCGATTGCTAAACCGATTACTATATTATCTAAAGAATGGTGATGGATCATCTATTGATCGAGAATTAGCAATCAAATTGCTAAAATTAGGGACCGAAGATTACAATGCAATGGCCTGGACTTGTATTCTACAAACATTCATAAACGAGATGCGACTTGGTAATACGGGTGAAGAAAAAGTTGTTGATTTGATCAACTCGGTCCATGAATATCTTGGGAATAAAGAAGCTTGTTGTGATTCCAATGGAGAGTTTTTATCTCTATCACTCGACTACTTGATCCATCAATCAAATTACAAGAGAGAGAAATTAATCCAAAACTGTCTTGGTTGTTTTTACAAACAATTAGAATGTAGCTTCCTGTCAGCTCATCAAGGAGCGGGGGTTAGTCTACGTTGGGAAAACATTGGCCTGATTTACAGTCATTATACTCCAAGAAAAATACCCAATTTTGACAGTGAAAGAGGTGATTCGATCGATTCAAATACTGAGAAGTTTTTCGATCTGTTCTAACAATGATTCCGATAATTTGAACCCCGAAAATTATGTTCATTTGTTGAATGAATTCATTGATCATGGAAAACAAATTGAGCCTTCAACAAATATTCCCAAACATCATATTACTCAAGATATTTACTATTACTTAGCTGATTATTACTTCAAAAACAATGATCTCAAGTAAGTAAATTCATTTAAATTTATTTATCTGTAAATCAATTAACCATTTGCAAGTTTAATATGATCTCTAATGTTATCTATCTAATCAATAGTAAAGCCATAGAATTTTACATTCGTGATTTAACCTTAAATCGCGATCGATTTAATTCATGGGTTGGCTGTGCTCTCGTACTAATAAAGTTCAGTGATGAATATTTTTGCTCTGTAAGTAATCAAATTAAAGTTTAGTTTCGTAAATATTTTACATGTCAAATTTTTCATCCATTAAAAATGTCCGATTTTCTATTCATTATAATCAATCTCGAATTTCTTTCAAACAGAATGGTCGAGTTTTCTACTCATCTACTGATGAAGTTTTGCTCTTGGGAGAAAAAGTGTTACGATGTTTCAATGAAGCGGTTCGGCTGAAAAGAGCGAATCAAGGTATGGTTCGAATATGGAAAGTTCGCTTATTATATTTCGAGTTATATTTCTCGAGTCATGAAATTTGGACCTGCTTTGGAGAATTCACAAAAAGAAGAAATGAAAAAACAACGAAAGCGATTCTTGGATCGAGCTCGAGATTGCTTTGAATCGGCCATTAATTCTGGCGATTGTGATACAATTTGGATGAATTATTATTTCTTAGGAAAAATCGCTGAAAGAAGTAACATCTTACAAGCACTTCGATATTATGAATTATTTAAGTTTCATATGACCTCAATTGAACATTCTCGCAGTCGTTTTGGAATTGAAATTCACTATCGGATTCACGCTTGTGTCCTCAAGTATATTTATAGACATAAAACTCTGCCAGCAAGAGTATTATCACAAATGCTGGTGTTTTTATCTCGTGCGAAAAAGGGCAAAATCTTTGGTGGGTTTGTGCCCAGCGACGAACTAGAGATCGAAAATGAGGTCATTGAAGGCGCCGAAGAGGTTAAACCCGATTTGGTTTCGATGGAAATTAAAAGTAGACAATTATTTATGGAAATTGTACAAATGTGTCTGGAGGCGATGCATAGAAACTTACAATGTACTCAAAGTTGCAGTCATTACAAGTCACTCTATCGAATGGCTTATCATCATTTTCTATCTAACGATCCTCGATTCGCTCGCAAGATACTCACCGAGTCATTTGAACTGCCAGCTCGTTCCCCAAGCTCCATACTAGATGAAGAAAGTTCAACTGATACAGTAAATTTTTTTACAATTTCAGGACTTTTCCCCTTTAATGAATATTATTCTACATTCCATGGAATCGTGAAGATATCAAACAATATTATTGAGAGGTCAGGAAGTTTCTTTACTCACATGCTTCGATCAACTCAGTTATTGATTAATATCTATAAGAATTTGGGTGATGCTGAACAATTATTGCGAATCGCAATACTTTTGAGCTCAGAATTGAGTTGCGAAGGATATTTTCGTGATATCGATCGGGAAAATCTTGGGAAAAAAGCATTGGAACATTGTCTTAGTATTTACGATAGTCGAATTGTAAAAGCAAAAGACAACCATAATAATTTAAAATCGATTTCATA